GGGGGGACGGCCCTGGGGGTGCATATCGACGTCGTCAGGCGCCGCGCATCGGGCAGCGGCAAGCGGGGCAGGGAGACCGGGTGGCGGCACTGGGGCCGTCTCTCGAGGGGAGTCGTCCGAACTCGTCGCAGCCCAACGGCAAGGCCGCCCGGCCGCTGTCCGCTGTACCAGGTGACGGCGGCTTTCCTTTCGGCCGCCTCTGCGGCGCTTGGGGCGCTGCTGCTGGGAGGGGGTGGCCGGAATGGGGGTCCCGGGAAGGCGGGTGTTGTGCCAACGGCGAGAGCGCCGAAGCCCGTCGGGGCCGCTGCCGAGTAGCCACGGTGCGTACGCATCTTGGATAGCGTCGACGGCTGAGGACGGCAGCTCCAAGGCGGTGGCGAACTCGTCGATGCCGGAGCGCAGGAAGGCCACGGCTGATGCGCCAGGGTCTGCCTCCCAGGTCTCCATGGCCCATTGGTGGAAGCCGCTGGCGATGTCGAGGGGGATGCCAGTGTCCGCCAATGCCGCAAGGGCGGCAGAGGATGCGTTGCGTGGGGCGGGGAGGGGTGAGGAATCATCCGCCGGGTAGGGCGGGGAGGAGGGCAGGGGGCCCATGGGCGGGAGGGCGGACGCCATGGGGTCGGCGCCGTCTCCCGTGGGAGCCTCGAGCGCGTTCAGTGGGCAGCGCAGGTCTACCCGAATGTGTCAGGCATCAGATGCGGAACGGGTTCAGTTCCCGAGGAAGACTCTTTTGGCAGCGACGGCCGTCGAACAGCCCGAGCGAAGCGAGGGCACCTGTGAGTCAATCAGCGATGAACGCACCTGTGAGTCAATCAGCGAGTGAACGCACTCCGTTCAGCGCGGAGTTCGGGGGTGAGAGGAAGATCTGCACTCCGTTCAATGCGGAGTTGCACCAATATCTATATTTCGCATCCTTCAATTCATTCCATCCGCAATCTCAAAGCCAAGCTCGCATGGAGTTGCTGGGCGAAAGGAAACACTGGACGGTGCAACAGCCTGGGCACAGGTGTAGGAAAGAGCATCATTCCGTTTTGCATCTGTGACAAATGGCGAGGGAAACGTCTCTGCTGAGCGTGAAAGTTCTTTATTTCCTGCAAGCAGGGTCTGCCGCCTGCTTCTTCCGGTTCTCGGTGGTCTTCTTCAACTACATCGGGCTGCCCGCACACTTCATCGGCATCCTCGAGTCCATGGGACCTCTCGTCGGCTTCGTCGGCGGCCTGGTCTGGAGCGGCGTGGCGGACTACCTAGGGTGAGCGAAGGGGAGGAGAGGAGAGATGACGCCCCGCAATGAGGCAGTAGTGCGGATCTGATCTGGATCTCTTGCGTATGCGTGTGTGTGTGCGTGTGTGTCTGTGTTGCCTCAGTGACAGGAAGCTTGTGATAGTGTGCACCAATATCTGTGCGGTGAGTGCGTGGACGTCCCTGCTGCTGCCCTTCATCCACAGCCACTTCGCCCTCACATTCCTCACCGTATTCATCGCCACCTCATGCGGCTCGGCCTACGGACCCCTCGCTGACTCCCTCGTACTCGAGGCCATCAAGCGGCACAGACTTAAGCAGCTGACCGAAGACGAAACCGCCACTGACGCAGACAGGACGCAGTACATCAGCAGCAGCAGCAGCGGCATCAGCCCGGAGGAGTCCACCACGTCTGTGGAGAGGGTGACGCTGCAGCTGGAGGATGGTGTGAGTGGTGGTGTGGCCGACAAGAGGCGGCAGCTGGGTGAGCCTTTGCTGCTGGCGAATGGGGAGGTGACCCCGATGTCGCGGTATCCATCCTTGAGCCGCTTCATCAGCCGGCGGTTCAGCTGGAGGGGACAGCAGTTCCGCACCGCTGCAAGGAAGGCGTCATATGGCCACCAGAGGTGCGGTGCGAATGTATGGTCGGTGGCTGCAGCGTGGGATGATTTTGGTTGTCGGCGTGTGTTGTGTTGTGTTATGTTGTCCATGGTGTGTCTGGTCTGTCTGGTCTGTTTGTTGCAGGTTGTGGGGTGCGGTGGGGTGGGGGATGTTTTCGCTGCTGACCGGTCTGCTGGTGGACCACCTGGGCATCCCCACCATGTTCGCACTCTACGCCACCGGGCAGGTCCTCGTCATATTGGTCAGCCAGCCAAACAAACTGACAACGCAGGCATCGAAATCATCTGCCTGGTGCGTTGCTCGACTACTGATGCTGTCTGTTTTGTTTCCCCCAGGTGCTCGTGACATCCTTCCCGTCGCCGCCTAAGAAGGTCCGCCCACTAGTGGCTCCGCAGAACCAGCAGACACATCCACCTGAACCGACTGAACCATCACAAGCCGCCCCCGAGCACCCCCTCAGGAAGCGCTCGGAGTCGCTCTCTCTCGGCGGCGCGTACAGCCCCTTCCCAATGTGTGAGGTCTGCCTGGCCCCCTGTGCACACCAACACATGCCGCAGCAAGATGAAGGAACCCAGACGTCAGCCGGGAGCAACGTCGAGGAGGTGAGGTGGCAGAACGGCGGTTTCCTGGCGTCGACCGGCAACAGTGACAACAACAGTGTGTGGCCTGAGGCGGTGGATATGCGTGGCCTGCGGCCGATGCCGAGCACCTGCACCGCCTGCAGGGATGAGAAGGAGGCGACGGTGCTGATCAACGGGTGGCGGGACAGACAGGGGAGGGCTCATGGGGATGGGGACGGCACGGGGAGAGAAAGCGAGCCTAAGCCGGTGACGCCATCGGCCGCGAGCGGCTCGCCGCGGTCCCCCAGGTCACTCAAGCGGCTGCTGAGATTCGAGATCATCTGGTGAGTGGAGATGAGGGATGCATGGACACACCACACCACACCACACCACATGGCCCATTTATTCCATGTCTGTCTGTACGTCTGTCTGTCTCCCTGCCTGCCTGCCTACGATTGATGTGTGAGTGCAGGTTGCTGTTGAATCTGTTCATGTTTGGGTTTTGCATGAGCTTGGTTGAGCAGTACCTCTTTCTCTACCTGGTGCAGTACTTCCATGCCCCCACCTTCCTACTGGGGCTGTCCATCTTCATCATGACCGTCGCAGAGCTGCCTTTCTTCTACTACGCTGAGGACGTTGTCAGGCTGCTCAAGCCACAGGTGGGTGCGTCTGGTCTGTGAGGCTCAGGGAGGGAGGGAGGGAGGGAGGGAGGGGAGAGGGAAACCGTTAAGTGAGAATATCGTGAACGACTCTGGCGTGTTTGGTTTGTGGCTGGCGCGCACTGCAGGGCGTGTTGACGCTGGCTCACGTGACGTACGCCGTGCGTGTCTTCATCTACACTCTCATACCCAAATCAAACCCATGGTCAGTGAGTGAAGAAGCAAGAGAGAACGCACGCACTTGCGCGCGCGTCGAATGGTCATGCTCTCTCTTTTCAGGTTGGTGTTGCTGTGTGAGCCGGCTCACGGCATCACGTTTGCGGCCATGTGGTGCACGGCCGTCTCGTACGCCAACCAGCTGGCACCCACCGGGCTCGAAACACTCATGCAGGGGTTCGTGGGCGGCTTCTACCGAAACCTCGGACAGGTAAGTAAACGAGTGGTGAAAATGGGACGGACAGAGAAGGAAGAGTGGCGCCGCCTCGCTCATTCTCTCTGCATCCATGTGTGTGTGTGCATGTCAGGGTCTTGGTTGCATCGTGTGGGGAGCGTTGTGGAAGACGGTGGGGGCTGACGTGCTGTACCGCTCGGCGGCTACATTTGTGCTGCTGTGGTCGGTGGCATTCAACCTGGTCCCATACCTCAGGAACAAGCGGCGGCGGCACATTGAGGCAGACCGTCACTGAGTGAGGTCGCTGCGCCTGCCAGCCAGAAACGGCAGCGCGTCCGTGTGTCTGTCTTGTCTGTGTGTACAGAAAGCTAGATGGCATGGCATGGGATGGGACGGGATGATTCCATCCATCCACACGCAATCAATCAATTATAGCGTTTTTGCTCTTCCCGCTGCGGTGCGGCAGTGTCTGCGAGAGGAGGGGCTGTCTTTGTGTGAGTGGGCCGGGCCTGGCCTGGCTGGGCTGTCTGTCGGTCTTTGCATTGTTTGCCTGTCTGTCTGTCTGCCTTTGAAATGGTGGGTGGCTGTCTTGCGCCATACAGTGAACACAATGGCTTGTTTTGGCGTTCATACGTGGGTTTCATTCCCGTGCTGTGTTGTGCCTGTTGATAGCTAGAGGTGGTTTGTCGCTCTTGTGTGCGTGAGGCGAGCCTCCTCACCCCCTGCTTAATTGCGCGCAACACAAGGAAGCGTGTTGCCAGTCGCCATCGGTGCTACGCGCGAAGCGAAATTCAGAGTCGACAACCAACGATGCCCGAGAGAGAAGCGAAAACGGTCAAAATTGTACAGTGTAAGCCTGGTAGGTGATTTCGCAGCAAAGTTTACATTTGTTTACATTGGCAAAGCTATGTATTTAGGCGTTAGAGCGTTATTGATCTTCCTTGGATTGTCTTCTGTTGACGTCCTGCTTTGCGTCGCGCGCCATCCTACTCCCCTCCTGCTTTCTTATCCTTGACTTCTCTTCTGTGCCTTCTCCTCCCTCCCTGAGCCCGCCAAAATGCGTGTTCTTCTCGTCGCTGTGGCCCTCCTCGCGGCATTCCTCCCTGCCCTGGCAACACCTGCCCTGCAAGGGCAGAGCGGCCGGTTTTTGGCCGGCGACGACGTGAAGGTTGGAAACGTCATCTTCCTCCACGTAAGTAGACAGACACACACGCAGAGAGGCACGCGGCGCATGAGAGCTCTCGTATCTGTCTGTCTGTCTGTCTGTCTGTGTCTGTGTGTGTGTCTGTGTGTCTGTGTGTCTGTGTGTCTGTTTCATTCAGGCTTGCGGCACTGGCATGGTAAGCAAGCCCGTCCTTTCGCTTGCTTTGGTCGGTCTCGTGTGTGTGATCTCGTCTGTCTGTCTGTCTGTCTGTGTCTGTGTGTACGCGTGTGCACGGCAGAACACCTTGAATCTCGGGCGCACGTACTGGGCGGGCCCCGACGACCGCGAGAAGTGGAACTGGGACCAGATACCCGAGATGGCAGTGTACAGAGCCCATATGAAGGACCAGCTCGTCGGCACCCACAACGGCGGCGCCACCATTCATGCCTTCGGTGAAACCGCACCACACAACACGAAGAGACACACCCATATGACGTGCGTCCTGTCATGATGTCATTACTCAGGTTACAAAGTGGACGCCGACTCCTTCGGCCAAGACGGCGACCGCTCCATCAAGGCTCTGAGCGGCTTCCCTGGATCAATCTTGCGCGAGGCGCAGCACCATGGCATGCCCACGGCCCTGACGAACGACGGCAGTCTGGCTGTGCCCGGGACTGGAAGCTTCACGTCAGAGGTCGACCCGGAGGCTCGGACCTCGGCAGAAATCGTTCGACAGATCGTCGACGGTCGCCCGGGCTTCGAGAATAAAGATTTTCCCCCTGAGGTGCTGCTGGCGGGCGGAGAGTCCCTCTTCCTTCCCGAGGGGACGCCCGAGTGCGGTGAGAAGATTACCCATGACTGTTTCGTCCATAAGGACCCGGTGAGGGACACGGTGACAGAGGGACACGGTGACACAGAGCGCGTCTCTGTGACCACACATCCTTATCTTTCAGGTATCCGGCGCGGGGCCCCAACGTACCGACGGGCGCAACCTCATCCGCGATCTCGCCAACAGAGGGTATACCGTCATCCGCACTCGCCAGGAGTTCGACGAGCTCCTGCACCGCATTGAGTCGGACCCTCACTTCTTTCCCAAGGTATGGAGGGGTGAGGGGGACAGACTATTTTTGACGTTATGGTGAGCTGGCTTCGCGCTCGTCGTCACGACACATGCCATGCTTGTTTCTGCCTGCGTGATCGACTCGTTCAGGTGCTGGGGCTCTTTGCGCGCGGCGACACTTTCAACGGCGAGACCGAGGAGCAGTTGATCGAGGATGGACTGGTGATCGAGGAGAGAGCCGGCACCAAGGAGGGCCGCCTCCTCCTCTTCGGCGGTCGACCGGGCACGAGGTCCTTCAACCCGCCGTCCGCTGCAGAGCTGGGCAAGATGGCTCTTTTGCTCATCAAGCGCTTCAGCAATGCCGCCGGCAAGCCTTTCTTCGCCGCGCTTGAGTTGGAGAGCACAGATGACTTCCCTAACATCGCTAACGTAAGGCTTACGACAGTGACAATGGCAATCGACACTCGTATATAGTGCGCACGCCATTGTGTGGCTGTCTGGTGCTGCTGATGTCATGATGCAGGGCATCGGAACGCTCAATGCCGTCAAGCGGGCGGATGACCTCATCGGCGTGGTGCGCGACTTCTTTGAGAACGTGGACCCACATTCGTTCGGCATCCTCCCCCCTGTCAAGTAAGCCAGAGAGGAGGGGGATGGGGCTGGGGGTGGGGAAGGAGCCGCGAAAGCGGCCAACGTCTGGTGTGCTGTGTGTGTGCCATGCGCGCAGTGACGCTGGTGGCCCCCAGTTGTTCATCCCAATCGTTGACGACGAGGGCAAGGTCACGATTACTGGCGGCAACCCGAGCCTCGAAAACGAGGTACAGACTCTCTGTGTGTGTGTCGTGAGGGTGGCGGCACATGACCATCGCTGATTTTTTCTATTTCACAGCCTGTCGGGATCTTCCCACTTGACGGCTTTGAGGGCCGCAACACCCTTCCCTTCGAGTCGGCGCCAAACGCCTTCGGCTTCATCCAGAAATTTGCCATTGGTAAGTGGAGTGAGACATGCACATACGCATTCCTTGAATGCAAGGCAGCTCTGACTGTTTCTCTGGGGTGTATTTGTTTTACTGTGCAGGCTACGTTGGCACTGAGGACGTCCATGGTGCGATTTTGGCTCGTGCAGGGGGCATCAATGCACACCTGCTGCGCGACAAGTTCTCCGTGTTTTTCGACAACACGGATGTCTACCGCCTCATGTACTTGTCGCTCTTCGGCAAATTCCTCCCTGAGTCCTACGGCCAGAATGCCCCCGACCGGGACGGCCATTAGACGGATGGAAAAGTGGCTAACTTTGTAACTTTTTTTTCTCGTAGTCGTACGGGATGACTGTTGCTGCCTCGTATGGAGCGCTGTGTGGGGAGCGTTGCATACGGGGTTTTGCACAGCGAGTGAAGGGGATGGTTTCGTACGAACGCATGTGAGTGAGAAGGGGTGTACGTGCCACTGGCTCGACAGCAAATGAGGGGCGTCACTGTCGCTGTTCTCGACAGCAAGCGCTGTTTTCGACGGCAAGTGAGGGGCGTCACTGTTGCTGTCTCGTGGTGCATGGAGCGGTGTGTGGGGGGGCGTTGCACACGGGGCTTGACAGCGAGTGAAGGAGATGTTTTCGTACGAGTGCATGCGAGTGAGAAGGGGTGTACGTGGCTTGACGGCGAGTGAGGGGCGTCACTGTCGCTGTCCTCGACAGCAATGCTGTCCTCGATGGCAAGTGAGGGGCGTCACTGTTGCTGTCTCGGTGCATGGAGAGTTGTGTGAGGGAGCGTCGCACACGGGGCTTGACAGTGAGTGAAGGAGAATATGTTTCGTACGAGTGCATGTGAGATGTCCAGGACAAGCGGAGGTCGTCGCAAATTACCGTTTTTCATACCGTTTCCAGTGGAAAGAAACGCCATATTTGCTGTTTTTCTGTGCGAGTGGGGTACGTGGGGATGTTGCGTGCTTTCTGCCGTGGCTTGCGGCTGCCCCCCCCCCTCCCCGTCCCCCTCCCCGTCCCCCTCCCCTCTGCTCTCTGCTCTCTGATTTCTGTGCGCGCGCGACCCACTTGTCTGTCTGTCTGTCTGTGTCTATCTGTGGCGACTAACTCTGGGCAGCGGCTGTGAGTGTATGGCGGCCAGCGTCGTCGGTTCGACGACACTTTCATACTCTTAGCGGGCACCACTGTTGCTCCATTTTCCGTGCTGCCGTCGAATTTTCCGTGAGTGGGGTGGGGAGTGTGAGCATGTCTCACGTAGCGCGCTGTCTTTTAAGCCGGACAAATGCTCACTTGCGCATGTCGAGTGTGGCATGTCCTCGTGTTTATGAGGCCGGCTGTAATTAAAAGAATGCGTGAAGTGAGACACCCACCCCGCCCACCCCACCGTGAGAATGGATAAGCAGGCAGGCAGGCTATGTGTGTTGTTTTGCTTTTGGAGTACCTTGCATTGCCTGACTAGAGTGTGAGTGTGTGTGGTTTCTGGGACTCGCTAGCGAACCTGTAATCAATACCATAGCCACCGTTGTCTCTCTGCCATCGACTCGATCACGCACCCACCACGCACCACCTCAGCGTGCGCACCACAGACATAACACACGTACACAGACATAACACCATGGCCATGGATCGATCGGCCTCTGTATACAAACGCATACGTACACATGTATAGTATACATGTACACAAGGCCAGGAGAGGATCGTGTCTCTCACCATCGCTTACTCGGCCGAGCCAGTCAAACCACCATCATCAAGAAAGCTACAACCCTGGGGGTACGTCCGCTGCGCATGCTGGTGTATTGTGAAGCAAAGACACACACACACGCAAAGACACACACACACACACAGACAGAGAGAGAGAGAGAGAGGTATCGTCCATCCATCCATCCATCCCATCTGTCCATCCATTCATCGGCCATGTCGCCTTCTCCCTGACGGCCACCGCCGCAGGCAAGAGAGCAACGTCGAAACATGGGACGGAGCGAGCTCAACAGAAAGGACATGTTATCGTCCAGCCGGGCGGGATTGTGCTGCAGAATCATTGACAGCCGGTCGATGAGCAAGATGACCCTGAAATACATGGCCCCCCCCCCACGAGCGTTGCCGCCGAGCCTCTCTCGCATGCGACACGGCTCTAGACGTCTGTTCTGTCTATGTGTTGGTGTGTTGAGGGCGAGTGGGTACGTCCCGAATGTGCTGGTGGGCCAGAACACCGACCAATGCTCAAAGGTAGCGGTGCTCAAGGATATCCGCCTCCTTCTTGCCGTCATCACCGTTGCATGCGCAGCCTTCTCCTTCTTGGCACCGCCCACCGTCACCGTCACCATCACGTCGCCATGGCATTTCGGCGCTTCAATGTGATGTCGACGCGATGGATTCAGACGCGAGTAGGTCGGCATATACGTGCAGCTGACGCGCAGCGGCGACAATTATTGTCGTATGACACTGAACACTCTCGGTTGTCACTTGATTGATGCATACGTATACACGTCCGTATGTCTGTCGAATCATACATATACACACACACGTCCAGTGCAATGTCGGTCAGTCAGTCACCTAATACACCGCATTCTCCCTGGCCCCTGCTCATTCATCTTCACTCGGCAGCCCAGGCACGTCCTTGATCACCACTGCACTCTTCGCGACCGGCCTCCTCTCCCCGGGCAGCGTCACCAGATCGAACCGAACCCTTTCGCCAACAGTCAGCTCTTCACTGAAGTGCCTCTCCCCTCGCCAACATGACATCGTTCATGTGCAAAAAGACGTCTGGACCGCCGGTGGCTGGTTTGATGAATGCATAGCGCTTGTTGCGGAGCACCAAGCTTGACGCAGAAGCCATCCACGTTCTCGGCAGTTGTGGCAGCTGCAGACGGGGTCGTTCCAAGGTTGCGGGAGAAGGGGAGAGGAAGTCGTGCTCTCGCTGCAGCCTGCTGGATGGCCCTCATCCCTCATCTATGTACGACTCATCCCTGCATCAACCACAAGAAGATCGATGCATAATTCCATCTTCTTGTGCATTCAATCTTCTTGTATCTCAACGAATACACCGCCATGACTGGTCGAGACAATTGTCCATGAGCGTATCACCGGCTCGTGTAGTCGTATGCTCCCCAATGCCAATGACATACTCCCATCAGTTGTCCACACTCTCACTCTCATCACTCATCATCAGCCCCTCCCGCAAGCCATGCGGGCCAGTCAACAGCATCTGGGGCCGGTTCAGGCAGCGATGCCCGGAGGGACGCCCACCAGTCAGCTGAACTTTCCGCTTGAGAGGCCTCCTTGATCACCTCTCTCGGGATATCCCTCAAATTCTCCCTGTCCAGCCCCAGCCCTTTCTGTCCCTCCCCCTGTGACAGCTTCTTGGTTGCCCGGAGGCGCCGCCCGCAGCCCCATGTCCCTGCTTCCACGCCATAGTCCATAGCGCAGGTCTTGCACGCACGGACGGAGGCCTTGTTCTTGATGTCCTCCCCGACGACACGCTGAGGGCATGTCAATCTCCACTCCCGCTTGTTGGGGTAGTCCTCGTCGGGCACGCCGCAGCCATTCGCTATCACCTTGCTCATGCCACCACACTGTCTCATCTCATCAAGCTGCTGGTCAGTGGCCTGAAACCACACATGAATTACCCAGCAAATGTCCTCGAAGTCGGGGTTGAACTGAACGCTGATGCCGAGAGGTGCGTCCGTTGCGAGCAGGCATCGATCTCTGCGTCCGACCGCAGACTCCGCGCCGATGCTAAGGCCTGAATGCAGATCTCTCGTACCATGAAGATCCGCCGACTCATCCCCGTCACTCGCAAGCCTCAGCACAAAAAAGCAACGAGACGGCTTCATCTGCAAGCTCGGCGTGGGGGATGGTGGGGGCGCAGTCTCAGCCATCCAAGTCCAAGGATGGTTCGGAAAGAGTATCAGCATCTGGAGCGTGCCTGCCGGCATGTGCTGCGGGAGAGAATACGGTACTCGGAGCAACGGAAGAGGGACGTCAAGAGAGGTGAACGCTGAGTGACGCTTCGCCCGTGAATTCCTTCTTCATCCTGCTTTCATCTCGCCCGCAGGCACTCCTCTCACTATGGTCATCAGCACAGCAGCCACGTCAGCAGCCACCTCTGGGGCGGGGCCATCCACCCTCTCCGGAAGCCTCTCGCTGCCGTCCCTCACCCATGGTCCCTACGCCAACAGCCCATCCAAATTCGACAGGTAAGGAGAAAGACACAGCAGTTCCTGTGTTTCCATCCATGCATCATTCGATCCTGTCCGTATGCCATCTTCGGTCAGTGAGATGACTGAGCCCCTGCAGCTCGAGCCAAGGCGGCGCTTTGAACTTACGTACATCGCCACTCTGCAGTGCGCTGCCTCCCATCGTGCGCGATCATACGCACGTCGTGTCATCGAGGCGGAGCCATCGCTTAAGGTCTGAGACGAATGGATTCAGGCCACACATCCTCTCACGCAAGACAGTCATCAGGCCCGTCTGTGTGTCTCGTTTGGTTCGCTGGATATGCAGGAGAGTGTGCGTCCGGTTGAGGAGAGGCTGCGGCAAGAAGAGGATATGATGGTCGTGTACAGCGACGCACTCGAGAGGGTCGCCGACCCCCTGTACAGGCCATTCCCGACGGAGAAGTTCGTGGCGATCTCCCTTGGTCGGTGAGACACGGTATCCGCTGTCAGTGTGGGTGGGGCATCGGTGCGTTGTATTTTAAAGGCAAAGGGCCATTTCCTGCCACCAGTCTTCCTCCGATGAGCATGTCTCTGCCGGCAATCCAAGAAGGGAGGTGAGTAAGCGAGTTTTCATTCATGTCTGTCTCCTTCTTACACCGAGAACGCATATATGTCTACAGGAGTTCCAGCCGCTCCACTTCATCGTCTTCGGCCTCGCGGGCAGAGGCGAGCCCACCGGCAGCCGGAGCAAAGAGGGCATCAGTTCAAAGGCGCGTCAGCCAGGAGAGCGACCAGCAGCAGACTGTGGTCATCCATAAGCCTCCGCGGACTCAGACAAGGCTCAAGTGGAATCAGTTGTTCACCTTTTACGACCAGCACATGAGCCACGCGGTCGATGAGGATCTGCAGAAGGCGGCGGCGCCCTTCCACACGGACGCCAACACAGTGATATCGGCCGAATTTGCGGAGCGCAGCCGACATGTGAAAGGGCAGCGCAGGAGGGAGCCGGAAGATGCCGAGACACCGGCGGCCTCTGACGAGGTATCCAATGCCAATGCATTCATCGAATGCATCATGCATAGCCCATTCGTGGTCCTGCTTCGTCTGATACTTGCAGAGGTGTGTGGTGACGGTGCGTCCGGTGAGGCCGAAGAAGAGAAGATTGCCGTCGCCACTGGACATTGCCAGACACGAGCATGAAGTCATGAAAGCCAGACAAGCCCGGTTTCGGGATCAGTCCATCTTGCCTCTCGAGCGGCGGATGGATGGAGGCTGGCACACGCAGTCGGTCGTAGAACTGCCGAGCTACTTCCCCCCTGGCCGTGTGGTTGACGGGCGTGATGGTCTCGACAGAGAGTGGCGGACACACTATTTGACTGAGACAGCCAGGCTGCACGAGGACGTCCTGCACACATCCAACCCACAGCTGTTCCAGCTGAGGGCCCAGGAGCACTTGCCTCCCATCAACAAGACGCTTGCTGTCTCACAATGACTACAATCAATGGGCGGCCTCGCTGCTTCTTGCTGTCCGTCTGAGGCTTGGCTTGCTCGCGGGTGTACATGTAATGTACACGTGTGCTTTTGTCTCGCTGATCGACTTGGTGTGCTTGTTCGTGCTTGCCTGCACTGCTTGCTTCTAAGCTGTCGGAAGGAGTCAATCAATCAATCAATCATGACGTCTATCTGTATCGTCCTGCTTTGTCTGATCATCTCTTGTGGTGTCGGCGCGTCCCGCCGCTCCCCGCCTCCCCCTGAGCTCATCCTCAACAATACACCCAACAGCAGACTGCACATCAACCCCGACATCGAAGACACACGGCCCAGGTAGGTCCGAATGCGCAGAAACAGATTCAATGTGTCTGGGAGTCTGTCTGTCTATCTGTCTGTATGTTTTGTGCTCAGAATAATCATAAATCACGGTGCTCGTGCAATCATTGAGACCACGTTGCCGCAGAGACCAACGGCACACGAGAGTGAGAACCATTGCTTGTGCAACCATTGCTTGTGTGTCGGTGTGGTTGCTCATCAGCAACGAGAGAAGCAATGAGGAAGGACGCCCAGGATATGGAGGAGTTCAGACAGCTGACACACGAAATCACCAAGAACGAGCCGACAGAAGACAGAGTAAGAAATGGCGACAAGAGGGAGGGAGAGAGAGAGAGAGAGAGAGAGGAGGGCAGCATGATGGCAGCATGGTGTGTGAGTCTCGGGGGACTTCAGTTGCACATCTCGTCGGACAAGACACCGAACGTCCAGATCAACAACGCACCCAACTCAATGTCAGCGAAGGAAGAGAGAGAGAGCAAAGGCGCCAAGAAAGCGATGAGACATGAAATGACATGGCATTGTGTGGCTGTGTGTGGATTTTGGTAGTGTGCGCGTGAGCAACCCAGATCTCCATGTGCCGTCTGTGGTCATCAACAATGGCGAATCATCGGTCATCGAGGCGGCACAGACGACAGAGGAGATTCAGGAGAAGCCAGCCGAGTGATGAGCGTGCATCGATTGAATGCACAGCTACTAACCAACATGTGCAAGCATGATGACGATGATGTAACTAACACGTGTTACATGGGCCAGGCGGTTATATCGAGATGAAACGATTGTCCTCTCATGCATCGTGAATCCAGCCCTGTCCGTGCCTATGCATTTTTGCATCCACCCGAAATGCATGGCCACTGCTCGCGCGCAAAACTGACCCAGATCGATCTAGGGAAATCATCTAATACAGACTAGAGTAGCCATCCATCCCTTGCCCCCTCCCTCCCTAGCTGCCCTCGACCCCCCTCACCCCCCTTACAATAAGTGCCCACCCCGGTCCCCTTAGAAAACACAAATTGACAGAGGTACGTAGTATATATGTGTGTATGTAGTCTGTGTGTGTGCATGTGTGTTTATTGTGTTGTGTTCGTACGTGTCTTTGTGCACTCGTGTCCATGTATGTATGTGTGTATCTGTAGCTAGATCGACGCACACGCACACGCACACTCATAGGAGGAGGCAGCCTGTACACAAAAACAACGAGGGGCCATGTCATGCATGTCATACCGTTATATGGTCGTATGAATGGATGCCATGCGCATGGATGCGTGCGACGTCAGGAGCTGATCGAGGTCAGGTCAGAGCCGGCTAGCCACTAATCAATTCATAGACCCACCCACCCTTACCACCCATTCCCCCTCCCCTCCCATTTCCTCCCCCTGTCTATCATTTCGATCTCTAGTATACGATCCTCTGTCCCTTGAGTAGGGTCTTGCCCATGATCCACCCCTGCGCCCGCCTCTCGCGCTCAAGCCCCTCCTTCCACAGCGCCAGTGCACCAGCCATCGTCCCCACACGCAGCATCAGCGGCGGCTCGATCCCCTCCACACCCGTTCGCACCACCACGGCATCGCTATCATAGTGCTGTTCCCTCGTCACGCCAAATGTCACCCTCGGCTCTGATGACCCGCGGCTCTTCTTGGTGTCACCACCGGGGGTGGCCTGGTGCTGTTGGTCACGGTCATGGTCAGGTAGGGGCATGGTGTGGCTGCCCGGCGACAGGAACTGCCTCGACGATGAGGAGGGGTACATGATATAGTCCCCTCCGCCCACCTGGTCCGCTCCTGTCCCCACCGAGTCGACATCCCAGTCGCTGTAGTACTCTCCACCGCCGCCAGAGCCTCGCTCGCCGTCGCCGGCAAATGCGCTGCGGAATGAGGGCGCGTTGTGGCTGTTGTATGGGGCGAGGGGCGCGTTGACCACGATGGGCTCGTGATGCCCGACCGTGGGGCTGTTGGCCCGCGGCTCGTCGTCTATTATGGGACTGGAGATTGTCGCGGCAGGTGGGGTGATCGCAGGGGGATCCGATGCCGATCCTGGCGCGGGAGGGGGCGACGGCTGGTCGCCCCTGTCGTCCGTGGGGGTGTTGTTGGCCTGGCTGCTGGTGTGGGGGTGGCTGCCGCCGTCGGTGAAGAACTGGATGACGGCCTCCACCTCACGCTCGGCCTGACGCTCAATGTACGATAGCGCACTGCACAGACAGACGGACACAACATGGAAAGGAATGAGTACATCACACAAGGACAGGCATCCCCTTCTCACCTAATGGCTTCCTCCAGGAACGGTCGTGCCGTGTCCGGAGCAGCGCACTTCTCCTTGAGCCGCTCCATCAGCGCCTCCTCCTCGGGCGTCGCCCCCTCCCTCTTCATCCGCTGCCACTGAGCCCGCAGCGGCACCTCCCGCGTCGCACCGTCAATGCGCAGATGCAGACCCTCTACACTGCCCTCGCGCACGTTGCTATCATCTAATTGCTGCGTCTCGTCGGTCGGGAGCCGAGTGCTGAGACCCCCCAAACCCGCCGTCACCTGCCTCTCTCGCTGCTCAGGCATGTTCGTCTCGTCGGCACCCTGGACAGTGCTGGTACCGCTGCCCGCCGGGCTGGGCCTTGCAGGTGCAGTGGGCGAGTGCACGAGGCCTCGATAAGCGGGGCTGTCTTTGGGGCGCTCGGTGGTGGTGGCAGCATCGGGTGATTTGTCTTTGATGGGTATGAGGTTGGCGGTGAGGGGAGGGAGAGCTGCCCCTTCCTCCTCGGTGGTGGCGTACTGCTGCTGGTCGGCGATGGGTGGGATGACGGGCTCGAAGGGCTGGTCGACGTGGTGGGCGCCCTCACCCAACTCCTCCAACTCAATGTCGCCCCACACCTCCAGAGGATCCTCCTGCATGAAACACAGACAGAGAGACAGACGTTGTTGGGTGTTTGGCTTGATCCTCTTCGGTTGTGGCTGTGTGCTTACCAGCAGAGGGAGCCGATAAGTGCGTCCATTGGTTCTCTGGTCGCCCCCCTCGCCGGCGTCACCAGCCCCCGCCCCCGCCCCCTCCTGCCCATTGCGCCTCAGCACAAACACTCCCCTGAACCTCCTGCGCCCTCCCGAGGCCCTCTCGCCCCCCTCCAGGCCGCCCAAATTCACATTTAGGTTGATGTTGAAGTTCCGCCCGCCGCCCACCCGCTGGATGGCGCGTGACGTGGAGCCCCGGAGGCGATCCCACGCGTGGCCGCCCTGCCTGACGGCCTCCTGTGTCATGGCAGCGATGGACTGCATGAGCAGTGATGTGGCCTGGGCAAACTCCTCCCATGTGACAGTCCACTCGGACGGCACGGCCGATGGCGGCAGGGGGCGGAAGGGAGGGGGGGCGAGAATGAGGTCCGTGGGCTGGAACCTGCACACCACACATGGCAAGGGCGGGTGAGTGGGTGGAACACTCATGACTCGTGTGAATGTCCCCAGCTCACTTGTATCTGGTGGGGGGCCCTTCCATGTCAGCCCATCGGTCCAGCACACGGCGGACGATGTGGGCCATCCTGCCGAACTGCAGCCCACCCACAGCCGGCAGTGAGGGGATTAGCGGCGAGCTTGCCGACACGGAAAGCGGCTCAGCGTCGCCCACACCCACACCCACACCAGCCTGACGGTTATCCGCCGAGAAATACCACAACCGATGTGCCCTGGCAGAGAGAACAAGACACATCAAACCGACGTCATCAGTCAGACCGTGAAGAGAGCTCACTTGATGGTCTCTGCAGTCATGTCCTGCCCCAGCTCCTCTCTGAGAGCCCGCAGCAGCCGCCAGTGTGGCGCTGAGACGACAGCAGCCGCCTTGCCGAACCCCTTGGCCGCCCCTGCCAGCTCCGGGGGAGGCGTGATGGGTGTGGGCTTTCCGTACCCGTTGGCTGCCGACGCCTCGCCGTCATTGGCGGTGGTGCTGGTGGTGGCGCCCTGGTGTGTGGGTGAGATTGAGGGTGGCAGGAGGTGTGCAGCTGGTATGAGTGTGGAGAGGTCGCCGCGGATGAGGGAGCTGGTGTAGCGCTGCACCACCTCGGTCAAATACCTGCAGGCAGCGCATCCGCATATGGACGGACACGTGAGGAAGGTTGTTTGGGTGCGGTGCAACTGTGGGCGTGGCGGTGTGTTGGTTACGTATCGAGTTGTGTGGAGTCGTGTTCGTCCAGGAGGCCCTTGCTCTGTTTGCTGCCGCGGGCATACAGCCACGCACCTGCAGATCAGATGCGAAAGACACACCAGACAGACCATATTGCAGACCAGGCCCGTTGGCACTTCTGTCATTCTCATCAGCTCACCTCCCGCAGCGACAATGAAGCACATGGAAGTCACTGACGACACACACACACACACACACGGATTCACTGGCCATCGGACACCATGTGTGTCAGTGCGTATGTGTTGGTGTACCTATATGGTATCCGGCGGTCCCTCCTGCGGGGTGCACGTCCAGCTGCAGGATGCCTGTAGTCGCCCATCCGGCTGCCACAGTTACGGCCGCACCGATCACCCACAGCGTGTCGTACGCGTGGGACTGCTTGATGTCCCAACCCACCCTAAACACACACACACACACACACACTCTCAGACATGCACATCTACCGTATGTGGGCAGAGGGGGATTTGTTGCGGCCACTACACTAGCTGACCAGTTGTTGAGGGTGTTACTGAGGGCGGGGTGTCCTTTGCTCTCCATGACGATGGCGATCAGGACGCTGCCGAGCATCACGCGCACGCTGCTCAGACAGCGGAAGAAACGAACCACACCAAACGCGAAGATGAAAATCTAAACCAGACCAACACCACACAAAGCATCCACAGACGCAGGCAGGGTGAGAAGGCCTGCCTTCGGCTGCCGTCTGTCTGTCTGTCCGTTCGCCAACTCATCACTCACCACTGCCCACATGATGAGCACGAGCGGCCGAGTGACCACCTCCACGCGCCCAAGACGCATAAACGGGTAAGACGGCCCCACCGCCCCCGCCTCGATCCCCACCTGCCCGCCGCCACCCTCACCCTCCCCACTCCCCTGCTCAACCTGATTGCCTCGGTGGTTCCCCTCGCCATTGTTCCCACCCACTGGGCTGTCTGTGAAGGTCCTGTAAGCATAGTCAGGGCCCTCTGGGCTGGCGCTGCCCGCCGCACTCCCACTGCCCGCGTTGGTCGACGTCGCGCCGCCGCCCTCACCCTCACCAGCGCGGGGCGAGCCCGACGACCGGCCGCCTGCTTTGTTTGTGGGAGGCTTCTCGGCCATTTGCGCTGCGTAGATGAGGACTGCGAGGGAGATGGCCCGTGCTACTGCGGCTGAGAGGGCCAGGAGTGGGGCGTAGGGCATGTGGGGGGTGACGGAGGGGTGCCATGGGTAGATGCAGAGGACGAGCAGGGCGCCTGCAGACACACGCACATGGGATGGAAGGCGTGCTGTGCTGTCTGTGAGGATGTCTGTGTGGATGGATGTGTGGGGTCACTCACTGACGACTCACCTAGGAGGACGATGCCAGACCCGGCGACTTGTTTGAGCGATAGAGGGGGGAGAGATGGCGGCAGCAGGTGGGGGTTCATCTGGGAAAAGCAGTACGTGACGACCAGCTCAAGAGGCCAATCCATCAAAGCTGCACAACGCACACACACAATCCCGTCCAGAACAAAACGCCCTCCCTCCCTTCCTCCCTCCCTGGCTGTCCACTGACCTAATATGACCACCGCAGTGATGTCAGCCGACACAAGTGCCAGCAAGGCCATAACCGGCGCGCCCACACACCCCAGCGTCTGTGCCACGAACAGCGCACCGTAGAAGCCCACCGTCAGCTTCTTCAACTCTCGCCCCAGCCTCTTGAGACTGCGCCGCTCGTGCATCAGGCTGGCGATGGCGCAGCACAGCAGCGCCATGGTGGCCATCTGGATGGGCCAGAAGGACGCCATCTTCTTGGCCGTGGCCGTCGAGAAGGCCGCCTTGGCAATGCATGTGGTACACGCCAAACTGAGGATGCCCAGGCCGGCGCTCCGCAGCTCCCGGGGTGCTGAGCGAGCTCGGTGGGATGCCTGGCGGTAAAACGAGGACAGCCGGGCCCAGAAGGACGGCATCTAGTTGCTCGACTGAGAGCCGGCGTTAGGCAGAGAGTCTCAGTTGCAGTTAGAGATTGAACTTAGCTTGGCGCAGGCGAAGGGCCGTCCCGCAAAACCGCCTCCAACATCGGCACAAGGGTATGGAGATGTGGTGTTCTTTGCCGGAGGCTCGGAGCTATTGCTATGTGCGAGCCGCCCTCACAACGTTTCACGCTCATGATTTAGGGTCCAATTGCCATGATTCCGAGTAAGGGGCACCCACTGCGTGGGCACCCCGGGCCGCGAATTGGGCGGGGGTCGAAAGCAGCGTGCGAGATGGCGTGAATTATGCGTCACAGAGACGTGCACAGCACGAGTGTTGGCGAGAAGCACACCGACGCATGCAACAATAGCGAGAGTGTCAAAAACATGCAGACAAGAACGGTGGGAGCTTGAAAAACATGTAGGTCTCGAAGACAGACGTGGCGATAACACGCAGGTACTCAGAGTGCTGCAGTAAGAACACAAGACACGCCCTTGTTGAAGACGTGCTTCGCCAAGTATACCAATGCATCACTGGATACAATCGGATGTGCCTGTTGAAGGGGCTATCGAAGCCTGCCCTCGATGACGGTCTATCGGCTTGTCAATCAAATGGGAGCCGCCAGGATCAGCCCAACGATGACCTGCACCAGCAACGCAACACGGCAAATGAAATCGGCCACAGCGCGCCACGTCAGATGAAGCAAGCCTCCTGAGTAGCTTCTCTTCGAGTCGAATCTCTTCACACACGGTGGTCACTCAATGGATGTGCCAGCCTCACACGATTGCCCACTGGTCGATTGCGGGCGCAGCCGGCGTCCGCATTCAAGCCACCTGAGACGAGCGACGACAGGACCTTCTCTGTTCACTGGGCGAGCCGTTACCGATTGAACGAAGAGCAGATGCGGGCGTTCCAAATCATCTGCAGCCACTTGCTGAACCACTACAAAGACCTGCGGGACAACAAATACGTCTCGCCATTGCGCATGTGCCTGACCGGCGAGGGCGGCACCGGCAAAACACACGTCATCAAAGCTGTGAAGGCTTGTTCTGCTGAACTGCAATGCCGACACTGGCTGTGTCTGGCAGCACCTACCAATATCGAAGGCATGCACATCTTCGATGACTTCGAGAGTGGCGAGAAGAGGCTGCGGCGCAAGCGGGAAGCAGCAGACAGTCGATGGTAACCGCATTTGCAGAGAGGAGTCTTGCAAGCATATCCACTACCAAGTCCATTGCACGATAGTCGGCGAGATCTCTTTCGTAAAGCGCCAGAAGCTCGACAAAGTCGATGCGGCACTGAGGGACCTGCGAAAAGGCACCCAAGAAGGACCAAGCTCAACCAGCTGCATGAACGGACAAGAGAAACATCCCATCCACCACAAACTGGCGCGTTCGTGCGTTGTTCAGTCAGTGGATGCTTCTCGTTACGGATCTTGCTTTTTTTAAGAAGTTCGCGCCCAGAGAGACCCTTATTCGTTGATTTTCTCCGCGCAAAAGAACCGCGATCTTTTTCAAGCAGCAGCGGTTTCAGGCAGCACCCTAGACGGCCCGACGGCCAAGCTTTGTTCACTAACTTGCCGCTTTAGGGTACATCAGTTTTACGGTTACTTGTCCAAACGTGACAAAAAAACACAGAAGCTGTTCGACATATTCACGTGTCTGTAGTAGGGCGAGCAACACATCATTGCTACCGATTCTCCTTTTTTCTTCCATACGATCGCGATCGAACGTTTTGTCTGCCGGACGTGTTGTTTCTTAAAGACGCAAATCGGGCACTAGTCCAATTCGCTCCTGATCCGCAGCGAGCCATGGAGAACGACGAGGGTCGAGGCGGTGATTCGCCTTCCCGGCCATCAGATCTGTCCAGAGGCGCTCCCACCACCCCGCGGCTCCCCGGTGCTTCGACTGCTGCTTCCCCAGGGAGCCACCCGGCAAGCTGCCCGATGGACAGGCTTGATCCCGATTCGTCGACAAACCTGCTCGGGTTCCTCGACTGGCGAGGCCTCAGCCGGCTGAATGAGGTGAACCGTCACTGGAATGGCGCGACGTCAGCCGAGGACAACCGGCTGTGGCAGCAGGCCTATGAAGCCTTGGTGACGCTCGAGGAGGACGAGAGGGATGGCGGAGAGGGGGGAGGGTTGACGCCCCTCATCGACCGACCCTTCGGGTGGGGACAGAAAGAAAGGGCTTGCCAATGGGTGATGGTCTATTGCATCATGGTGTCTGTCTGTTTTGTTTGTGTGTGTGTGTGTGGATGTGCCAGGGATGCGGCGGTGGGGTGGCGCATTAGTGTGTACGACGAGTACAGCGGCAGGTGGAACGAGGGGGAGGTCCGGGCCTTCACCCAAGCCGAAGGTTTGTTCCGTGTGCAGTTTGACGATGGCAGGCTGGAATGGGAGTCAGAACAGGTACACACCTACACCCCACACCACACGCAGGAGGGAGGGAGGCAGGCAGGGAGGGAGCATCATCCATCATACACACACCCAAACACATCTTTCTCGTTATTTGGTTTCTCTCTGTGTGTCAGCGTCGCGGCGATCGTTGGCATAATTCAGGCAAGAGTCGCATCTTCTGGCTCGCCCCGCCAGGCATCATCCCCCAGCAGCCCCCCCCACCCACACCACCCTCACCACTCATGCCGGTGCCGACAGGAATCCCACTGCAGGTGGGTGGAGGCGATGAAGACCAAGATAATGCCCCCGAGCAGGATGAGGATGACAATGAGAATGACAACGATCTCCTGCTCGATGATGCGGAGTTCCCATTGCCGGCGCCGGCAGCGGCAGCGGCCGCTGCTTCTTCTTCTGCGGCGGCTGGTGTCGGTGTCGGTGGCTCTGATGGCAGGAACGATGCTGACGATGAGATAGATCTGGAGCTGACGGTGGATGGGCGGTGGATCGGCCAGAACCCCCTCCGCGCCCGTGAGCCGCCACAGACACACCCCGAAGACCGGCCCGTGAGGCAAGAGAGCAGCCAGAGCAGGGGGCCGCACCGACCCCCGCCCATCCCATTCCCCCTACCGGCACGCAGCGCGTCAGCTCCGCCACCTGACGAGCCACGTGACGAGCCGTCATCGAGTGAAGACGAGAACGATGCCGCCGACCGCCCGCCCTCTGCACGGCCGCCGCGTGTGGACCCATACCAGCCAACGCCTAGGCAGGGATCGGCGGATCAGGTAGACGGGGATGCGTCGCCCTACCTGCGGGCAGACGAGCACCGTCGTAGGATGAACCGGCAGCGGCTGCAGGAGTACGTGAGGCGGCCGACGGGCAGGGACGGTGGGCGGGGGCGTCTGTTGCCACCCCTCAAGTTTGTGCGGTGGCGTGACGAGGTGCGGCAGAATGTCACCTATGTGCCGACAGATCTCGTGATCGCAATCCACCATCACGGAGATGAGGTGAGCAAGGGAGGGAGGGGGAGGGTTGCTGGCAGGGAAGTAGGACAATGGGTGCGTGTTTCTTGATGTCAGGTCTTGTATTGCTGCTTCTCGCACAACGGGCGTCTTCTTGCGTCGTGCTCGCGGGACGGAACGACCCTCATCTACAGGTGGGTGAGGCAGTCCGCCAGCCGTCGACCAGGAGTGAGTCGGTCACTAATCTCATCTGCTCTCCCTCTCCGCCCACTGATGTATTGTATGCAGAGTGAGCGACATCTTTAACTACGTCCAGGGCACCTCATCGCGCCCCGCCATCCCATCGCCACCCCCACCCCCACCGCACAAGCCCTTTGCACGCAGCAGCTTCTTGCCCTCGCCGTTGCGCGGTGGGCAGCCCCACCCGAGGCTGCCCCGAAACCCGCGGCCCGTCAGGCGCTTCATCCACAGCAACACCCCCTGTCGCTGCGTGTGGTCGCCCGACGACCGTTATCTGCTCGTCTGCACCGAGGTAGGTGAGATGGAATGGCGGGTGGGGGGGAGGAGAAGGCGCGTAACTGTTGGTTGTGTGGTCCTTTGGCGGATATCTGTGTAAGGCCACGATGGGCGACTCGTTCGGCAGCCCGTCGAAGGCGGAGCTGTGGGACGTTAGGCGCAGGTGAGAGGAGGGTCGGGTGGAGAGAGGCTGTTCACCTGCCCCTCTCTCCGTCGTGTCGTGTTCTTCTGCGTGTGTTGCAGCGAGTGTGTGATCAAGACGGTGTGCAGCCCTTTCGATGTCTATGCAGTGTGGCTGTCCGGCGGGGGCCTATCGAGCGGCCCTACTGCCGGCCCTGCCAGTAGTCCCGGTCCGTCTCCGTCTGGTCCTTCTGGTGGCGGTGGTGGGAGTGGGGGTGGTAGTGTGCCGTCGTATCGCTTCATGGCTACGGAGTCGGCCTCCTATGACTTCGCGCAGGACCGATGGAAGCAGGTCAGCAGGGGAGGGACACACATTGACGAGAGACACACACACATTTTGTTTGTGTTGTCTGTCTGTCTGTCTGTCTGTTTCCCGGTCTGCAGACGCTGGCCGTGAGTGACGTGAGGGGCCGTGTGCATCGCAGGCTGACCCTGCGGATGGAGGCCATGAGCTACGCCAGGTCGGTACAGTCAGTACCCACACACAAAACAACACACCACCACACAGCTCGGGAGCAAGGCGGGTCTTTCTGTCTCGTGTGTGTCTGTGGTGTGGGTGTGTTGACCCACACAGCAGGAACATAGAGGTGGAGGGCAATGACCATTTCGTGGCCTTCGTCGCGGGCTCGAATTGCCACCTCAGCGACCTCATCTGCCTCATGCCCCTCAACAACGGTCAGCCAGCCAGCCAGCCACCACACCCACACACATACGTTTCCATCCATCCATCCATCCATCAGGTGAGGGTGGGTGGGAGTCCTCCGAGGTCTATCGCACCGCCGCGGCACGGTCACGTGCATGGCTCAAGGAGCGAGCAGCACAACCACCACAACCACAGCAGCAGCCACAACAGCAGCAGCTCCTGCCGGTCCCTCCAGGCGGCGACCCTCAGCCGCCCCCCACCCCACCCCCGACACAAGAGCAGGAGCATGCAGGCCTGGCGCGTGTGCTGCGCGAGAGCGGCAATGACGGGGTCAGAGACAGCCGTTGCAGGGGCGAGGGGAACGTTTACGTCGCCGACATCAGAGTGCAGGTGACAAGAGCACAAACGACACAACCACCCCACTGAGAGATAAGGAGAGGACATGTAATGTGTTGTGTTGTGTGGGCGCAGGATGATCGTTACCGCTTCTCATACCAGCGTGCGCCGACCCGCTCTCTCCGGGGCCGCAGCCTACTCCGGGGCGCCACAGACGATGAAATACGGATGCCTCCCCGCCCGCCGTCGCATCGCGCCCTCACCGACCACCAGGAGCCACCACCCACAGATGTGCGTGAAGGCCTCACCAGGCTGCGGCCACGCTTCCCCTCGTCCATCGTCCGCACCATCAAGCGACGCAGGAGCCAGCAAGCTACCAAGGATGCCGCTGAGGCCTCGGCTGGCCCATCGCTGAGGCCTCGGTCCGGCGTTTTGTCCTTGCTGCGTCGCCACAGGCGTCGTGAAGACGGAGACAGGGACGGTGAGCACGATGACGACCATATGAGAGACGACCACCCCCCCTCACCCCCTGCAGCACCAGCAGCAGCAGCGGCAGCAGCACGGCCCTCCGTGTGTGACGACGACCGTCTGAGTCTGGCGTCGATCGATTCGGACTGGGCGGCCCATTGCCAGGCGCCCGATGACGAGGAGGAGTCGGAGGACAACGACGGCGTCTTCGGCATGCATCTCCCGACACCCCCACCACTCGGGCATCCACACGCACTGCCCGGCCCTCACCGGGCCACTGGCAGTGGCAGGGACGACGATCGCATGGCTGTGGACGAAGGAGAGGGGGAGGGGGAGGACCATGGTGGGGGGCCGTTAGTGGAGAGCGTGTCTGTGGAGAGCACCAACGACTGGCGGCCGCTGGTGGTCATCGATGCGAGGGCGGGAGTGCTCACACTGCGGGTCACACAAGGTGACAAAATCAAGACCTGAATGGACGGAGGGATGGAAAGGCCGTGTGCTTCGGTGGGGTGTGTGTGTGCGTGTGTGCAGATGGCCAGTTCCTGTTGGTCAACTGTCGTCCGTTTGAGGGCAGTCAGTACCTGCGGCTGCGGCTGCTGGACCGGCTGTCGGCGGTGCGGCAGCCGAAGCCCGACCTCAAGTCAGCCATGGAGGTGCACATCTACCATATACCCACACTCACAAAGGTGAGTGACGTGAGGAGGGGAACGCACCGACACCGACACACCCTCACACAAGCTCGAGAGAGATGTTAGTTGTCGTAATACGTATCAGGTAGCTGTGCTGAAGGGTCACGTGGCGTTCACCACCAAGGCGTGCCCCTTCCTCATCAACCTCATGGAGGGCGGGCCCGGACCAGACCTGCCCTTCCCACCCATACACCACACACGCGACACTCACGACCACCCCGCACCCAAACCAACACCATCATCGCCACCACCCGCAGCAGCAGCAGCAGCAGCAGCGGCGGCTCCCTCATCGTCTGCGCGTGATGCAGACGCAATGATGGACCAGGACGAGCCGTCAGACGGGCAGGAGCCCTCTTCATCCTGTGTTGAGGGTGCGAGGCGGCCGGCAGGGGTGTGTGGCCAACAGCAGCCGCCATGGCGGTGTTACGACTTCGTGGCGAGTGGCAGTGAGGATCACCGGGTGTACGTGTGGCACATGCGGCACCAGCGGCTGGTGAGCATCCTCGCCAACGGACACACCGACGTCGTCAACAGTGGTCAGCAAACATCACACGGGGGGATCAATGAGTGCGGCTGGAAGAGTCTGTATCTATCTGTGTGTGTGTGTGTGTGTGCAGTGAGCTGGAATTCTGGTGTGCCGGGCCTGCTGGCGTCGTGTGGCGACGAGGGCCATGTGTGTCTGTGGTCACCCAGGCGCCTCAAGCACCACATCATTAGACATGGCGCCAGTGCGCTGCCTTGGCGGAGAAACACAGCGGACCTGCCCGTGGCCAGGCGAGAGCAGTAGGTGTGTGAATGCAGTGTAGTGGGTGGGTGTGGCGGGTGGTGTTTGGTGAAATGTGTGTGTGCGCGTGTGGGGAATACTTAATTGGGTGGTTAGCGAGGCCGCCGATAGTCGCGCGGCCGGTCCCTTGGTAAATTGAGTGTACGTGTGTACTATGCGCGGCCATTACAGAGGGACCGACACCGTCACGTATTCTAGATGAAGGAATTGCCTTCACTTGGCTGGCTTCGTGTTCATCAATCGTAGAGCCATCCATCCAGAGGCATGAACCAGTCAGTGTCCACACAAGATTCCACACAAGAACACGGCTAGGCCTGCAGCAATGTTCACTCCTTGAGCGGCTTGAGCCCCACCCTCTTGCGGACTTCGTTCCACTCAGACACAGACAGACCATCTGACACACGCACACACACACAGAGAGAGAGAGAGGCAGTGTGTCAAGGTACATATGTACGTTTGTGTATTGACAAACGGTCCTGACCTTTGTCTTTGCCCTTGGCCTTGTCGGCGTCCTCCTTGCCCTTGCCCTTGTCCTTGTCCTTCTTTCTCTTCTTGCCCTCCCTCTCGCCATCATCACGCCGCCTGCAGACACATACAACCATACAGAATGTAGGACAGTGACACACCAGTGGCGTCTCCTGGCGTGGCGTGTTTACCGGTCCCTGTCGCCCCGTCGGGTGTCGCCTTCATCCTCATCCCGCCTGCTGCTGCGGAAGCTGCGGTCGCGGTCGCGGCTGCGGGACCTAAAGTCACACACACTCACGAGGTGAGCTTGTCTGCTGCATCGCCTCTCTGGCTGGCCAGCAAACCTGTCTCTGTCTCTCTCCCGTCTGTCACGGTCGTCTCGGTCCTAAGCACATCACACACAAGAGAGGGGTCCCTCCGCGGCTGTGGTAGTTGAGTGTGTGTGGTTGGTACCCTTCGCCTGAGCCGTTCCTCCGAGTCGTCTCGGCGGCGGTCCCTATCGCGCCTGTCGCGATCCCTGAACCAACGGTTGCAGCACATGTTGTCTTATGGCATGCCTCTGTGTGTGTGTTATAGTTGCCCACCTGTCTCTGTCCACATCCCTCCTGCTGCGGTCTCGGTCGTCGCGCTCACGACGGTCACTACCAGCAAACACAGCACACGATCCAGGACTGTCAGTCAATGCGCTCCCTTGCCTTGCGTCTTTCTCCTCTCTGCTTACCGGTCTCTATCTCTATCTCTGTCTCTGTCTCTGTCGGTGTCCCACGGTGTGCCCCTCTCACGCAGGTCCTCCCCATTGGCCCGGGCAGCGTCACCGAGCCGCCGGTCCTCAAACGGCTCCCCTGAACGAACACATCAAGGAATCAGGAACTCCCTCCTGTACTGTGCTGTGCCGCAGTCCTGCAGGTGTGTCGTTATCATCTGCTATAGGGCTAGCCTACTTGGTCGCTTTGGTGGTTTTTCGTCTGCCTCCTGCTCGTCCATGTCCATCTCCATCTCAAGGTCGGCGTCCAACACTGACGGACAGACAGACAGACAGACGGGCACGGACGTCTCTCTCTCTCTTGTGGCTTATGTGTGTGGCTTATGTGTCTGGCTTGGCACTTACGTGATGCCCTCTCCTTGAGCTGCCCGCCCTCCTCGAGAATCTTCACACACACAACGCAACGCAACGCAACACAACGCAACGCAACGCAACATTGTGCGCGCAGGCATGCCAGACTTTTTTCGTTTAGCAGGTCGCTCACCTGTCTGTTCTGGAGCTGAGGGAAGTCGACGTCGAGCAGGTGCTCCTGCCGCAGCAAATCGTCGACAAACTCATCCATGTGCCGCACCGTGAACTCTGACCAACCATCACACACAACGAACGATACACACAAATGACAGACAGAAGTGGGCCCAGCAGCTGTCTGTGTGTGACGCTGCTCGTGTGTGTGTGTGAGGGCGCGCACTTCCGTCAAATCCCCGCAGTCTCAGTTTGCGGTAGTCACTCAGCATCGGCTCCTGCGACACACACACACACAGAGGTCGCGAAAGTCACTCCGTGGACAGGTGAGGGGCGAGACGACGGGCGCGATGATGCTTACGAGATTCGAATAGACGTCCATTGCCGTTCCAGTCAACCGCCTGCATCACACACACAGAGATACCAGCCCGCGTCTGTCTGTCTGTCTGTCTGCGTGTGTGTGTGTGGTTACATACAGGTAGAATGCGCCGAGTGCCCTGAGGTATTTGAATTCCTCGTTCCTGACGTACTCGAGAACGATGTCCTTGTCGGGCTGTATCTGCAGCAGCTTGAGCACCAGGCAGATGAAGGGACTCGGCTTGCGGCTGCCGCCGTACGTCCCGCCAACGTACTGCAGCTCCACCGCCTTGTCCACTATCGTCTCAGCTGAATGAATGATGAATCAATGATCCACACACACACAAACAGACAGACAGACAGGCAGGAAGGCACACCATCTATCTGTTGCTCGTGTGCGTGTGCGTGTGTGTGCGTGTGTGTGTGTGTGGCGTACCGGTGAGGCCGAAGCAGTGTTCCTTCCAGTATTGGTTTTGGTATATCTTCATACGCACGATGCGCGACACCAGGAACTGCGGATTGGTGCCGTGCACCGTCTGGGCGCTGGGATCTGTGCGATTCGCCATCCTGAAGCCGCCGTGGACCCTTCTCCAGCAGCGGACCCTTCTCGCAGCGGTTTCAGTAAGCACCCTAGGACCCTTCTCGGGTTGCGAGCTTAGCTCGGCGATTCCGATCCAGATGTCTGGTGGTGTTCCGACGCTTTGAGGGCAGATGGATGGTGTGCGGAGGACCGACGTTGAAGGGCGATGGTGAGGCCGAGGCGTTGATTCATCTCTTTTGTGTTTCTCAGCTCATCCAGCTGCTGGCAGCGCTGTAGGATGGCGAAAGAGTCTTCAGCATGGCGCGGCTATCTAACAATCGCCTCAATAGCAGTGGCGTCGCGCGTGGCGACAGTCATTTGGACGGCTTTGGCTCACCACTTCATCAGCGACTATGACACGGCCACCGAGCTGATGTTCGGAGAGCATCCGCCGTCCGCTGGCATCGCCGGCCGCCTGTTGGACACCTTTGTCTTGCCGCTGGTCCGATGGGACGCCCTGTTCTTCCTCTCTATCGCGTCTGACGGCTACCTGTATGAGCACCACCACGCCTTCTTCCCCGGACTGCCTTTGCTGATGCGGACACTCTCTCTCCCATTGCTGCCGTCATCAACGACGTCGGCACGCCGGCTCATTGCCGTGGTTGGCGTCATCCTGTCGAACGGGTGCTTTGTAAGCGCTGCTGTGGGACTGCTCCACCTGGCGAGGCAACTCGCGAATGACGGGCGGACAGCATTCTTCGCCGCGGCGCTGTTCTGCCTGCCTGCGAGCAGCGTGTTCATGTCATCTCTTTATACGGAGAGCGCCTTCTGCTGCTGTGCCTTCTGGGGACTGGCCTTGCTGTATCGGCGTCGCGTGACGGGCTCGTCAACGTGGCTGGGTGTTCTTCTGTTGTCGGCGGCGGCCTCGCTGCGGTCGAATGGGGTGCTGATGCTCATCCCACTGCTATTCTTCAACGTGCGCACGAGTCCACCGGTGGTCCCTATGTGTCGTGGTTGGGATTGGCGGCCTTTGATCTGCTTCATCGGCCACTGGTTGCGGGCATCCCTGCATGCATTTATCATTGTGCTGCCGACCGCCTTGACGCTCGTGTACGGCTTCAGTGTCCATTGCCGAGGCTGTGCTTTCCAGCAAGACAGCTGGCAATCATTCGTGTTGCGCCGAGCGGATGACATCAGTGGCATGATCTTCCCCTCTTCTGTCCACGGCCATGGTCACCATTATCACTGTCGCCCCTGGTGCGTGCAAGTGGTTCCGAGCATCTATGGGTTTGTGCAGCGGCAGTACTGGGGCGTCGGGCCCTTCCTCTACTTCCAGCTCAAGCAGCTGCCCAACTTCCTGCTGGCCTTGCCGTGCCTCCTGATGGTCACATGGGCTCAAGGCGACACATGGAAGAGGACAATCGCAGCAGCAGCAGGGAATGGTCATCATAGTACTACAGTGGATTGGCGGCTGGTGGGTGAGGCGGTGCAGCTGGCGGTGCTGGCCACCTTCACTGTCACGTGCGCCAATGTACAGGTCTTGACGCGTTTAGTTTCATCGAGTCCCCTCTTGTGGCTGCACCAGGGGAGGTTGCTCGCTGACAGTGATGTGACCATGGGGCGGCGGGGCAAGTGGATGGCGTCTGTGTGGGTGGGCTGGTCGTGCGTGTACTTCTTTGTCGGACCTCTCATGTTTGGCAACTTCCTGCCTTGGACGTAAGTGAATGGCAGAATCGGCCGAGGTCGATGCCATGCATAGAATGGCATTCAGGACACACGTGTATGTATTAACGTCCGTACCCCCTAGGTCCTTGCTTCTCACGCCACAGACGTCATGGCCGACTGAATGATGCATCCAAACAGACAGCCATATATGTGACCTCAATTTGGTGTAATCACAACGACGGCCTATCTGTCTATGGACCACGCAGGCCGGTCTGACTAGCTCTGCGTCTAGATCCGACCCGCATCCTTGCAAATAAATCCCACGCCACAAAACACGCGGTGGGTCTTGATTTCGTCAAATTGGCTTATCTTGTCCTGTGTCTCAAGGCAAGGCTTTGCCTCGGAACACTCTTCACCGATATGGCCGGCTTCGCGACAACGACCATACGAGTAACTCGGTAACTCGCCGTATCGCTGGATGGCCTTGCTCGTCCCGTATTTTCTGCGGTGACAATGGAGCCCCGGGCCACATTTGAGCATCACATGAGCATCCTTCCTGGGAGAGTTCAGCTTCAGCACGGATGAAGGTTTGCACATGTCTCCTTTCTGTGCGCGTTGCTCGCAGCTGCCCGCCACACCATGCTGAGCAGCCAGCCAGACAGACGTCCATACGAGTGTCTTGTGATGTGTCCTTTGAAGGCTGCGTCTCTCTGCTCGCGCATGCCATAGGCTCCGCCTGGGTCAAGCTCTTCGACGACCTTGTCCGGCAAAAAGAATGTCCCTGCATAGGCGTATGCACACCTGCATCCAAGAAACATGCGTACAGTATGTACGTAGGACAAAATTATAAAACACATGTGTGTATACTTGAAGTCCTTTTTGGTGTTGCAGTGGCGTCCGTTCAGTGCGCAGGCGTCGCCGGTGGTGCCCCCCTCTTGCCGCACGCATTTTCCATAGTGACTGACCTGCGAGAGGACATCAGCAGACGAATAAGAAAGATGTCTCTTAAGAGGATAGACAGCTCTGACCGCTTTCCTGTGGAAGTCGGTGTCGAATTGTTCGCCATACACTCTCTTGGTCGAAGGCAGCCACATGAGTGTGTCCCGGCAGACCATCCGCTTCGCCGAGTCACTTCCCCCCCAGTCACACAGCTCTCCCACTTCCGCTACAGGCTGATTCAGAGGGCGGCAGCAGCCGTCGATTGGGTAACCCTTGTCATCAATGAGGGCGAAATTCGGTTCTTGGGAGGCAATCACAAATGGCTCAGGTTGAAAGAAGCCGGTCTGGGCGATGTCTCCCTGCATAGAGACTGGGATCTGGTCCTCCCATGCTTTGTCCCAGGCGAGGAAACAGGCGCTGCCTTTCTCGCAGCCAGCCTCAGCGTCGCCTTTCTGCAGCTTACAGGAGGAGCACGTTGCATGCTCCGAATCAGAGTTGGACAGGTTGATCAGGACAGTGGCTGATGTGTTCGCAACGATGCGACGTGTTGGCAAAGAGGAATGGGCCAGGGCAGCTGCTGCGGGCAAGCCGACACGGAAGACAGCGTGAATGAAATCCATAAGTCGACGCATCGTAGTGTCTCCGAGTCCGACCCCGGGGGCAAGCTGGGGGCGGCGAAGGGACTCGGAGCCTCTGTCAGTGAGAGAACCGAAGGCAATTATGGCGGATTCGGCAATTGAGGAGGCGACAGACCATCAGGACGCGCATATTGATGGCCCAAAGAGAGACTCAGTGAGTGCCGCAGTGGAGCCCATCCAACGCATGCCATCGCAGCCGGACTCTGAAGCGCTGGACGAAGGCACAATCCCATGCGAGGCACCGTTCACGACAGACGGCGACACGTCGGTGACACACACGGCGACTCAACAGCAGGTGCAAGTGACTGTAGAGAACGGCGTGAGGCTCCCAGAGGTGCCGGGGATTGTTCACGCTTCTGGCGGCGCCGAGGACGAGGATGAGGATGCTTCTCCTGTGCACGCCCGACCGGACCAGCTTGACCAAATCATGGCACCTGGATCGCCAAAGAAGATAAAGAAGTCTGTGACGGTACGTGAACGATGGGGCCAAGGGGTTGACGAACGGATGGCTGCCTGCCTTTAATGTTTGTACAGGTTGCGCGCTCATTCATCTTGCACGACGAGAGAGAAGACAGCCTTCCGGTCCAGGCCTTCGAGAAGGGAAAGCCGAGCGGCTTGCCCGACGTCGACTTACGGGACCTCAGTCAAAGGAGCGGCTCAGTGTTTGATGGCCTCTACCACAAGACGCGGTCGCGTCTCTCCTCCTTTGTCTCGTCGGTAAGCGTATGAGAGGCTTCCGACCGGATGCATGGAGTGTGTGGCTTGCTCCGTCCATTCTTGCTTTGTCTTCTTCCCATGCAGGTCAAGGAAGCATTTGGAGACGATGATTCGATCATCACGACATGGGCTAGTCTGGAAGCTCGTCATGAGCGCTTCACTCATGCACGGTGTCTGTCCTGTGTGGCATATGCAGGTGATGGGAGGTGGTCACAAAAAGTACTGCGGCTGCGAAGGGCCACTGGGAGAGGTGAGTGAGCACAATTCACACAGCAGCGGTGAGCAAGTGGGGTTGACTGATCTATTGAGTCTCGCGTGCGTGTGTGAGTACAGATGCTGTTCATTGTCTCCCGGATTGCTCTTCTGATCGTGTTGCCGACAACCCTCGGACTCATTTGGTACCCATATGCTCACTGACTGCGGCATTTGTTGTCCCATTTGTGATTGTCTCTTGTCGTCTGTTTGCTTATGTCGCTCAGGAACACGCTGCCGCTTCACAATCAAAGGGATCCGTGGCACAAACAAATGCTTTACTTCTGGGGCTACCTACCGTAAGAGGGACTGTGCACCCACACACATATACCGATGCAGCTGCCACGACAGTGATTTGTGTCCTGTCTTTTCTTCACTCAGAATGTTCCGCCTACTCATCGGGTCGCTGCCGTGTACGTGGATCCCCGGTGCGCAAAGTCGAATCATCAGCCGCACCGACCAGAACACATCCTTGTTCTGATGCACAGGCTTCTTGAACGAGAGCGTCACCCTAGCGACGTTCTCGATGTCCTTCTTTCCAGGGCTCCTCGGTCACGCAATCACACTAGCGATATCGGCTGCAGCCGACACCGTCGGTAGGTCAGCGGGCCAGCGATAGCGATGGATGACGATGTCGGCTATCCCTCTGCGTGTCTGTCCGTAGGTGTTCCGGCGCATGCCTTTCTCATAGGCATCCCTATTTTCGGAGTGCAGGTATCCCGATCTTCAGAGTAAACTTTGGACAGTACTCTTTGGTGCCGTGCTTCTGTGTGCTGTTCGCTCTGCCCAATTGGAAAGAGAAATATTGGAACAACCGACAGGTAGAAGACCAATGGATGATGTCACCCACTTCATGTCTCTCCCTTCTTGCCGACGCAGGGCCGGAATCGTTGGTTGTTCTGCACAACTGTGTGCATGTTTGCTCCAGCGTTGTGGATGGCCGCCGTGTTTGTCACGTTCTTTGTGGTCTTGGCCGCAAGCAACGAGCTACAAGGTCGAACAAAGAGCCATCATCTTTTCATACGCTCGTCCTCTTGACCGACCAACCTGGTGCATGCAGTTGTGGAGTTTCTCCTTGTGTTCGCCTTCCCCTTCGTCGGCCACTATCTGGTGGAGTTCGCGAGAGCAGTCCTGAGACGCACTCGGCGCAAGATGGAGATAGGCGGGGCAATGCTGCCTCTGATGGTGACCACCATGTACATGTCCATCCTCTTCCCCACCATCCTCGAGTGGATCTTCTGGGTATCGACTGTCGAGCGGTGTCTCTTCATCATTTACCCCGCCTACAAAATCATCACGGTCTGTCGTGCCCGTCCGCGCCTCCCCGCCCCACCACATGTCTCCCTCTCCCTGCGTCCGCACTTCCTTGCAGGAGCACCATGCGTGCGTGCGTCGCATCACGGCGAGCGGCGTATACAAAGAGTTCCTTCCTTGCAAGAAGATGACATCCCTCACAGACATCCTCCAGTGCATCTCGCACAGCTTCCTGCTTATCTGCACCTTCGGATACGGCATGCCGCAGCGAGAGGTCGCCTTGCAATTCAACCCCACCAACGTCCAACAAATGGGCACTGACGCGCAGCAAGGGGACCGAGGGCAGATGTCCATGCCGGCCATGTCCGACAGACACGAGAGAGCAGCCAAGTACTTGCCGGACGACCACAATGCCGATATAGAGAAAGCCCTCAAAGACGACAAAGAGAAGAGCGAAGAGACGAAGCCCACACCAGAGCCACCCCCAGAGGAGAGGTCACACCGAGATTCGATCAGCAGCCAAGGCGGCTCTGTACAGCCGGCAGAAAGAGAGGGCGAGGCAGAGGGCGAAGGTGGCCGGCGGAAGAGCGACGAAGAGATCAGAGCCGAGCGCGTGACCCAGAAACGGAGAACATCAGTGGTGGAGCTTGTTGCCTCCAATAGGCGTCGCTCTTCGGTGGCGTCCATTGTTCAGGTGGGAATGCTTCGTGCAGATGCGCACACGTGGGACGGTCTATGTCGGGCAATGCCTGTGGTGTTTGCAGGACCCTGCTGGCCACTTGCTGTCGATTTATACGATAGATGACAGCGTCTTCGAGAATGTGACACAACAGTTCGCCATTTTTCTCGTCCAGGCATTCACCGAGGTGACAGCAGACAAAGAGCCGCCACCTGTCCTCCCCTCATTGTTCTCGTATGTCTCTTTAGATCTTTGGGCCGTACGTAGCACACAGCCGGCCGCTGCCGTTTGTTTCCGTGTACCCGGTGTCTCCGTGCGTTTGTGTGTCTATGTCTTTGTCAGGTTCCAGGTGCACATATATGTTCGGTACATTCGGGACGTCTCTCCCTCCTCTGAACTCTACCCAGCCTTCACCGAGGTACATAAGTGAACACATGCACACGAATCCCGCCATGCAGGGGCATCTGGCTGGCGTCTGTCCGCGTATTGCCTAGCAGCTGAGCGATAAGGTCGCAACCCGGTTCATGTGGTTCACCGTCTTCACGACCTTGTTCAACACCGTCACCTCGTACATCGTGCTGTCTATCGTCAAACCATACCTGCCTGTCGCACGTAAGCACCAGCCATCGGATATCCGTGTCTCCCTTTTTTGTGTATTGACCTCTCTGTCTCCGTGTGTGTGTTCATGTTGGTACTTGCAGGCCGGAAACTGATCTTGCGATTTCTGGGAGACACGACGTTCTTTCTCGTGATGCTGGGCAGCCTCACTATCTCGCCCGTCTACCCGATTGTCCTCTTGTAAGTCGAGTCAATACCATGATCCACACACAGATGAGACGCGTATGGATGACTTTCTTCGTTGTTCAACATGCAGGACACCCCACAATCAGGTACCCCGCGGGCTGCTCACGAAGCCTCACGCCCACGCATACAGATGCGAACACGGAGAGGTCCATTCCATTGGATGGATTCGCGTGTGGCTCTCTCTCTCTCTGTGTGTGTGTGTGTGTGTGCGTGTGTGTCATGCAGTTCCCCCTGGACTTGTCCGTTACGCGAACCGGGGACTGACCGGTCGATTAGGAAGCTGTGTCATCCTGTGATCTATGAGATTTCTTATCCTTTAAGACTGTGTGGTTGAGTCTTGAACGATAGGAGCGAGCATCAGATATAGCTAGGCATGTAGCCATGCAGGTTTTCTTTTTCTGTCATGCCTCTTGCCCCTCGTACTAGCCTTACTATTGCATTGACATGAATCCAATATGCTCAAATTTCGAGCCGCCTTAACGGCCTCTGTACAGTGTGGCGGCTTTGATCTTCGCAGACAGCGCCTCCACGCCCGGGCCATGGTCAAGCAGAAGGCAGCCAAGCAGTCCGCAAAGAAGAAGGCGAAGGCGAAGGCGGCCGCAAAGAAGAAGATTGTCATCAAAAAGCCCCCCCATATCACAATCGACGCTTTCAAATATGTGCTCTGCTGGAAGGTCGAGGTCACTCGGACAGAGTGAGCTCACATTGGAAGACCATTGCACACAAAAACCTGGACAAAGACACGCACTGACGTTGTCACGTTGTGTATGCGTGTCCGGCAGACACATCAAGAAGGACGATTTCGAGCGCGATGACTTATATCGCGAGGGTCGCTGCGAGAGGGAGACGGTCGGCTACTTTCGGTCGGTGCGTGAGGCCCGCAACGCTGCCCGTGATCGATTGCGCCAGGAGGTAGAGGATGGGCTGATGTACGAGGAGTCCATAATGGTGTCTGACAAGGACGGCGTGTGGAGCTGCACCGGGTCGAGCGGCGACGACGATGACGATGGGTTGTGGGGGGACGACGGGGAGTGGGAGGTTAAGGTGACGGTCCAGGAGGCCTATGCACCGGACAACCCGATTGACGATAGTGAGCCGCACGTTGACCGAATGAGGGGACGTGCAAGCACAGCGTGTGTGCGTGTACAGGTTGGGAGTTTGACCGTGAGGAGAAGCCTTTCGACGGCGAATATGGTGACGACGAGGAGGAGGAAGAGTGATGTAACGTATCCGTTCACAGGGTCGTGACGGGATAAAGATGGTCGTCTGTGGCTGGGGTGGGTATGGTGCGGTCTGTGTGACGAAGGTGTGACTGGTTCTAGCTTCTTGCTGCTCTGAATGCCTCCCTCCTAGGTGTGTGGGTGTGTCCATGAGTGTATTTGTAAGTGGTGGGCTGGGTGCGGACGAACACATGTTATACAGATGCGGCGTCAACAAGTCAGTCCTTCGCTCAACCGTACCGTCAGCTGCTCTGGTCGTCTATTGCATACCAACTGAGTACTACGAAAAAGCCGCTCGCACCAGCTGGGTGCGTCTATAGCGGCCGGGAAAAACGAAGCCACCCATCCACTCATCCATAGCACTGTACAATGACCAGCAATGAGGAGCCAGCACCATGCGCCACCAGTCTGTCTGCCTCTGTGTGCCCGTTGCACGGAAAAAGACCCCCTTGTGAGCCATGTGTGGTATGTATGACGCAATGTGAAGCGCTACTGACTCAACCGCAGGAAGGCAGAGGGAGGGAGGGAGGGAGGGACAGAGCACACAGTACAAGTACAATTACAAATACACATCTATACATACATACACGGTACATGTGCATGCATATGTTACGGATGCATACACACACACACATACGTGAGCTGTCTGTCTGTCTGCCGCTCGTTCATGAGGACGGCGGTGGCGGGGCGAGGGCGGGGTGGGCGGCCGGGAAGGATGTGTACGAGGATGCACCCGTCGCAGCAGGCATTCTCTGACGATATCGAATCAGCTGAACCTGAGGACCGACAATCGCCATAACCAGCGGAGGTCGGCTTATGCCTGTCTGTCTGTCTGGACACAGCACAGCCACGCACCTTCTTCATGGGCCCTCCCTGCACAGGGTCGAATCTCGCCTTGAGGTATGTGCCGTCGGCACATAAGACTGCATTGCAGGCAATACCAGACACACAGAGAGAGGTCTCATGCAGCCACCGCCACACCTGTCGCTCATGTGCATCCATCGTGCGGGCGCAGCCCCTACCGATGACTGAGTTGCGGTCGGCCCCAAATCCGCACACACAACGGCCGTCAGGCACTCTGACCCACCACACACACAGAATAATGAGAGGCTCCCTGTCTGTGCCATTACTTCGTCAAGTCTGGCTCACTTACTTTAGCTGTGCAAAACTCCACTCGCTGGCAAAGTATGGCGTTGCCCAGGACAGGAAACGGAAGCTGGACCTGGGATTTGACGGCGACCCCCTGACACACACACAACACAGCCATCCATCCAGTCATTCATCCATCCATCCATCATGCGGTTCATATCACATACTGTGAGCCTTGTGACGGCGACTCTCCAGCAGCGTGGGCATAGGGCCCCCTGGCAGACGCGGGGGTCGTCTGCGAGATGTCCTCAGCGCCGATAAGGCCCGAGGGAGGGGCCAACCGGGGCAGGGGGGAGAGGGGGAGGGATGCCGCGTCCGCAGGAAGGGCAAACGCGTGCACCGTGCCCTTGTCGGACGCAACCAGCAGCCTGGCACAGCACAACAAGTCGGTTGTCAGCGAGTGAGTGGTTGGTTTGGTATCTATCTATCGTGTGGTCGTGTGGTTGTGTGATTGTGTTGCTCAGCACACCATGGTGCGGATGGGTGGAAGGCGATAGAGTAGATGTCGGCCTGGTCGGCGCCCCGCCGCAGCTCCCGCAGCTGCTGACCGCTGTGGGGAGTGAATAGACGGATTATCGTACCCTGACAGACACAAACACAAGTGGGGGGGAGGGGGAGGGCGAGGGCGAGAAAGATTCGTATGTAAGCGTTGTCGGCCCCTTTGCACCTTCTGTACCTTCTGTGAGGCCGTAGCGAGCAGCGTGGCATCGCTGTTGAGGGCCACACAAGCCAGGGGGGTCTCGTGGGCAGCTGGGAGAGACGACGGACGGATCAAGGAACAAAACAGCGTGTGGTGTCTGTCGATGCTCATAGATCTGTCTGTGCGTACCAACCAACCTATGATAGCGACCGAGTTGGTGTGCCTCACATGCGTCACGTCGTGCTGCTGCCGGTCGGTCATCTCAGGCGACTCCTTCTCCTTCCCCTTCCCCTGTGCCGCTGGGCCCTCACTCCCGAACGCCTGGCTGTAGAAGACCACCAAAACACGGCCCCGCTGCAGCCCGGGACACGCCAGAACGATTCGCGAGTCGGATGGGCTGCTCGCCACGTCCATCAGACCTGCGACAAGACAGACGAGAATGAGTGCGTGAGTAAGCGCTTGTGTGGTGGGAATGTGCCGCCCACGTGGCGCCTGGCTGACCTCTTGGGTTTTGGATGGTGTCGACGGCCTCGATAAGCTGGAGGTCCCGGAAACGGTAGACAAACACCTTCCTCTCCAACGCCACCACCACACTAAACCAACACAACACAGCACCAAACCACATCAACACAACACACCCACAACATGCGACTTCCTCCCTCAGCGCGTCCTGTATTACACTTCATTGAGCAGCTTGACGTTTCTGACGGTACTGGAGAAGGTCAGCTCCGCAATGCACCGGCCCAGCCGGTCGTCCCACAGCATCACTTGGGTGGGCGGCCATCTCGGTGTCGGGCCGCCGCCGACGAGCGCGAGCATGTTGCTGCGGTAGAGCATGGCGACGATGGCGATGCCGGCGGAGTCCGGGCTGAATCCGCCCGCGCTGTCGTGCAGAGTGCACTTGTGGTTGTCGGTCGCGAAGTCTGAAGGAGAGCGATAATGGGCGGGCGATTCGATGAGTGTGTTCATTCCTGTTGTGTGTTGTGTTTGATGATACCTACCTCGCTTGAACATCTCTTTGAACGGATCCTGAGGACAATACACACACATTGTGACGCACACAAGAGAGGCAGACGATTCATGGTGTGTCCGTTCCTCTGCTTCCTGCGGCTGCCGTCCGTCCTCCCTCCCTCCCTCCCTCCCCCTCCCCTCACTCACCGTGTTGAAGACCTGGAAGCCCGTCGTGGTGCCGCAGGCGAAGCATGAGTAATCCTGGTTGAATGATGGCAGGACGTCATCTGTTGGGTAGCTGGACTCGCCACTCATCATGGTGTCCTAAGGGCTTTTCCGTGAGGAAAGGGGTCGCGCGACACTACACGCGCAAAGGAGAAACCCTGCTCGGTTTCTGGGTTCAATACCCTGAATAATGGTGACAGGGTTCGGCGAGCCAGAACCCTGAGCCGAGAAACCCTGCTCGTGTCGTCTAGCCTGATGGAATCGCGGCTGCTGAGGCATGACACTTCTGTCGAACATGCTGCAACAAGGAGCTTTCTGCCGCTGAAGATCGATAGATCTGACGTATCGGATGGCAGCCCACTCTCTCCCTCCGGCACGCCCGACACCAGCACCAGCACAAACAGCAGCAACAGCACAGCTGAAGCAGACGAGCCGGAGGACGCAGCGGATGGAGCTGGCGAGGATGAGCCGATGATATCTGCAGATCCTCGGAGAGAGAGGGAGATTGAGATGTCTGGCATGGTTGGGCGGGTGTTTCACGAGAGGAAGGTGGGTTGGCTGGAGGTGTGCAGTGAGCTGCTGCAGATGGCTGTGAGGCGGCCGAGTGAGTGGAAGGAGATGGGGCTGGGAGTGGGAATGGGAGGAGGGGGCCGTGGGTGGGGCATGATGGTCATGCGCGTCGTCACGCTGACGGTCCTCTATGCAGCCTACATGGTAGGGAACAAGCACGACCGCAAGTCAGTGTCCCCCCGATGGCTGGCACTTGGTGCTTGTTGTGTGGTTCGAGCAGGGTTTGATGTACGCCCGTGGCGTGTTGGATGTGAGCAATGCGGCCATGAAGAATGACTCACAAACAACATGGGACTTCGAAACAGCCGGTACAGGCCGCGGCAGCAGCGCTCACACAACCGCACACCCCCCAGCCACCCACCCACCTGCCCACTCATTGTGTCGCTCTTTCTCGATCAGGTGATGTGTTTGCGTGCGGCAACTACGCCTACTTGGTGGGCAAGCTGGTCTCGCCCCTCATGGTGGACCTAGCTGGCGCCCAAAGCCTGCTCGTGTACACTCTCGCCCTCGGCAGCGCCACCACCTTCCTGTTCGGCCTCAACGGCTCGCCGTGGACGGCCGCCCTGCTGTGGGGCTTGTTTCGGTTTGGTCTGGCATTCGGGTGGCCTGCCCTGGGCCGCATCGTGTGTGCGTGGTGCCTGCCGACGCAGTATGGGCAGGTGTTCGGTGTGCTGTCGACGGCATCACGCACCGGTGAGTGGCTGGGATAAGGGGGATGGGATGTCCGAAGGAGAGAGAGATCATGTGTCTGTTTGATTGTGTGTCAGGTGCGGTGATGGCGAGTTTAGTTGCGGGCCGGCTGCTGATGTGGGGGGTGCCGTGGAGGTCCCTCTTCATTGGGGCGGCGGCGCTCCTCCTCGCCCTCCTGGCCCTCACCAACGCCTTCCTGCGCGACAAACCCACAGGCACAAACACACACACACACACACACAGTTGTCACAGTTGTCCCAACACAGTCACCACACCTTTCGTCCACCCACCCTCTGTTCTGCAGATTGGGGCCTGGAGGAGGTGCATGCCAAGGGTCAGGAGCTGCTGCCTCTAATGGTTGTCGAGGAAGATGACACAGAGGAGAGCACCATGGAAGCTGGAGGGGCTGTCGACAACAGCACATCAACAGCAGCAACAGCAACAGCAGAGCGGTCGATGCACCAGCGGAAAGGGACAGCGAGGGGAGAAGTCGACGGCGGGTTTTGGCTGTGGAATGACGGCGGCGGCGGTGGTGCTGGTGGTGGAGACGGTGTGAAGGGCGGGCCGCGGCGCGCTGTGCGTCATGGTGAAGATGAGAGCCTCCTGACGGCCCTCGGCAAGTTCAGCCAAGGTGAGTGAGTCAGCTGGCTGGCTGGTTGGGGGAGGGAAAGGTGACCGATTGCATATTAATTAGTTCTGTGAGTGTGTGTGTTCAGAGGGTCATTTTTGGTTGATAAGTGTGAGCATCATGCTGATCACGCCTTTGACAGAGATGAACAGGTGCCTTGCCCTCACCATTGTACTATTGTGCGCGGTGCTGCATTCTTTGTGCGTGTGTGCGTGTGTGTGTGTGTGTGTTCAGTTGGTGGCCGAGCTATTTGTCTCATGTGCTTAAGCTCTCGCCGGGCGAGGCGGCATCCATCGCATCAGTTTTCCCCGCCGGATTTATCATCTCTGTGCTACTCGGTCCGACACACACACACACTCACACACACACTCACAGGGCTCACAATATACTGTCCACACACACACGCCTTACAGGTGGATGGCTGTACGACCGTCTGTCGTCCCGGGGCCGCTTCGTGTTCATCTCCTCTCTCCTGCTGACCGGCACCTGTGTGGCGTTGGCTCTGCGGTTCGTGCACCCCACTGTGCTGCTGGAGCAGCTTGAGCTGGCCGTCGAGTCGCCCGACGCGTCCGTGTCGCGGGATGGCGACGGGATGGTCATTGTGGACCCTGCCCACCCCCACTATGCCAAGCTGGTGGCTCTGCGGCTGCCACTGCTTGTGCTGGTGTTCCTGCTGGGATTCTGGTACGTCACTCAGTGAGTAGAGACACACGAGGGATGCACTAGGTGAATGTGTGTCTCTGTGTCTGTGGGCAGTTTTGGCCCGGCCTACTTCATCCCCACGTCTGTTTACTGTGCGAGCTTCGGTGGAAAGCGGCACTGCAGCACACTGGCGGGGCTGCTTGACGCGTTCGGGTACCTGTCGACGACGGCCTTCATGGTGGCTGTGGGTCACATAGCCAAGGCCAACCGGTGGGTGCAGGTGCTGGACCTGCTGTGGACGTCGCTGGCGTGCTGCACGCTCACCTACTCGCTCTTCATGTGCAGAAATGTCCAGCTGAAATACTGCTGAGCTGAGGGAGTGTGGCATTCATTCATTTGTTTGTTTGTACTGTAAATATGGACGATCGAGCTTATGTGTCTCCTTAGTTACACACATTGAATTCTGTGTGCGGCCGATCTTTGCACGTCCTCACTGACATTTCTACAAAGACGAGATCGATGGTCCATCCCTTCACTCAGATTCAAGTCGATCTATTCGCCACGCAGCAGCGTCTGTGGCAAGCACACACACACACACATATATATACACACACACGTGTGCACGGACAAAACGCAGAGATGGACGCACCGGGTCTCAAAACCATCAATGATGCGGAAGCCGCTTGCACGCAACACACGCAGCCAGACACATAAACTTGAAGACACGAGAAGCCATCATGTCCAAGCTCTCTCGTCCTTCCTCCCTCCCTCCCTCCCTCCCTCTGCGATTGAGCACGCGGACACAAGACACAAAGCCTAACTCCACGCCAGCTCACGGGTCGCGGCTCACTTGAGGCTGAACTTTACCGATTTGAACTTTCTGAACCTCTCGATGTCGAACCGCTTGAGCAGCTGGAACCACTCCTCCACCAGCCGCTTTCGAATTGACATGTCGAGCCGGTCACGTCGCTCCGGCGCAGCCGACTCCTGGTAGAGCGCGGCGACTACCAGCGCATCTGCGGGCCGCACGACGATGAAGGCCGGCGAGTCCTCCCCTTTGCGGTGGCCGTACACGACCACATATCTGAGGGGGCGGCCGAAGGGGTGCCGCCGCTCAAGACCCAGATCGTGGAGCGCGTCGATGAGAAGGTAGTCCTTGCCGGTGTCGATGGGCTGTGTGGCGAGGGCGCGCAGCTTGGCGTCCATCGGGCCTTCGTATGTCATGAACATGTGGCTGTGCGGGTAGTCCTCGAAGGGCAGGGTGTGGCGGATGGCGAAGGATGTGAAAGAGGGATAAACGAGCGACTCGCAGCGGACCACCGGATCGCTCGTCGAGTACGAGGCCTGTGCATAAAGAGTGAAAGTTAGGTGCAGTGAGAGACACAATCAGAACCAACACGCAACAAACTCACCTTGTAGGGGTGACCGGCCGGTAGGCTGGTCAAGGGCACGATCTCAAAACCCTTGCCGCGCAGTCGATATTGGTCGCCTTGGTGAGTGTTGGTGTCGAAGTACGTGTCGAAGTGGCTACGGTCAGACGCTTTGGCCGACTGCTCAGCGCCCCTGCCGTCATCGCCCTCGTCCTTGGCTGCAAGCAGAGAAGCATCATTACACAACACATGATCAGAAGGCGCGGTGCGGTGCGGTGTGTGGTGCAATGAGAGAAAGGGGAGGCCTTCTCGTGTCTGTGCTCACCGCGTGTCATGAGCATCGCCCGACGATCCCTCAGGCTCACCCTGCGCGCAGCCATGGGACCCATGTGTGTGTTGCCTTGTCTTGTGTTGTGTATGTGCCTGCCTTCCTACCTCTGCGACGGGTCGAGCTCGATGACCTTATTGACGTCGGAGAGGGCGAGCCGCCACTTGCCCTGCTTCTCGTAGGCGCCGCTGCGACGCTGGTAGGCCTGCGCACGGAACAACGTACACACACGACGTAGACAGAGTAAGCGTGTGCCTGACCTTGATGTATCGTGGGTTGTTGATGACGGCACTGGTGCAGTCGACGACGGCCGCGGCGTAGTTTCCCTGCTGTATGTGACAGGCAGCCCTGAGCAATGATTCGAAAAACAACACATCACCCAACCCACCCAACAGGCAGGGAGACCCACACTTTCTCTCTCCCCTTGCCCTGCCCGCACACACCTGTTGGCGAGTATGATGGCCTTGAAGCCCTTCTCGTCGTGAGGGCACCTATCCGATGCATCTGAGAGCACAAACAAGCCTTTGCTCCGTGTTTCCCCGAGACCCCCATCACACACAAACTTGCACCCACTCACTTCACTCACCTGTGTAGAGCTTGATGGCGTCGTCGTATCGCCCCTCACGGTAGTGGACGTTGCCCGCCTCCTTGAGCCGCTCGCACGCCGCTCTGTCCACCACCACCAGGGTCTGAGGCCGCCCATTGTTGGTCAGCAGTTGCCCGAATGTCTTGTAGATGCCCATGGCCAGCGGCAGCTGTTTGAAGGCTGTCGTGCTGGGGATGGTGTCCATGATGCCCTTAGGCGGCAGCCGTATCGGCAGCTGCTCCACCACCTCGAAGTTCTTGGCCACACGGGCGTACGGCGCCATCGACGGCCACACGGCCGCCCCTTCTTCAAAGACCCAGGCGCAGCGGGAGAGGTAGCCGAAGTAGGTGAGCCCATCGGGCATCACCACATCATCATGTGCATCTGTCGGGGCGCTCGTCGGGGCGGCTCCATCTGCCTCATCATCCTGATTGCTGTCCTCATCTTGAGGCTGCCGCTGGACGTCGAAGAGTCCGTCGAGGCCGTGGCGGGTCAGTGAGCCCTCGATGCGGCGGAGCATCACCGTGCTGTCGATGAGAGCTCCCTCAGTGCCGGAGATGCATCTGAAGGTGAGCATGTCATGGATGGTGCCGAAGCGGCTGCTCCGCCACAGATCCAGGGGCACCTGGTACGACATGAGGACTGCGAGAAATGCACGGGAGATGCGAAAAGAGAAATGTCGGATTGTCTGAGGCAGCAGCGACGGAGTGCGAGCTAGACCTGGAGCTGCGAGCATAGCAGCAACGTCAGCAGGAGCAGCAGCTCAATAGCGGTTGGTGCGTGACTGGATCTTTTGCCTGTCCGTCTTGTGGGTTTGTCCAATGGAGTCCGCATCTGCGGCGCCAGCGCCGCACCACTGTCCCGCTCCACAACCGCCTCAGAGCGCCACATCTCCCTGTTCATCGCTCCTCCGCCGCATTTTTGTCATCCACGCCGCTGCTCTCGTCGTTTTTTCTGACGGCTTTTCCCTCTCGCCAACGCTGACCCGACACCCGCCGCCCCATCTCTCCCCAGCTGCCAGGCGCAGCGGCCTCCTATCCCGGCTCCGCGCCAGTCCGCCTGAAACGGCCATTTCGTCAGCTGAGCGGGGCACGACTCGCCCAACGGTGCCTGTGGCTGATGCGGATGGAAGCGAGGAAGATGCCATTGTGGCGGGTGAGGTGCTGGGCGGCGAGGGGGATGAGATGTCTGTTGAGAGGCTGACTGAGGTGCGCGGGAGGATATCAACGATTCAGCGACAGCTCAAGAAAGCCGTCCAGACGGAGAATTTCTACAAGGTAAAGGGAGGGAGCCAGTCAGATGGACACACAACCTTGGAATGGGTTACGCATGACGCCGCATGGGCCTGTGCAGGCCGCGTCCCTCAAGAAAGAGCTCGAGAGGTGGCAATCGCAAGACCCTCAGCTGCAGCTCGAGGAAGCGCTCAGCGCAGCCGTCGAAAGCAAAGACTTCCTCTCGGCCGCCCGCATCCGCGACCAGCGCGACGAGTTTCTAAGACGGTGCCCCATACCCCAGATCAAGACCAACCGGCTGCTCGTGCTGACAAAGGACGCCGACATCGTCACGATGGATCCGTCGAGTGAGGAGGTGAGGGTCTTGTCAAGCAAGCTGAAGAGCTACAAGTCTGGCGCCAGGTGGGTGTGCCAGTGGCCGACCTGGTCGCATGACGGCACCAAGGTGGCGTGCACGGCGGCGCTTGTGGAGCCCACTAGGGCGGCCATGGGGGCATCGCCCATCAGTAAGACAGACACAGAACATCCATCCTTCCTCTCTTCGTCGGCAGACGTACGGGCGTGTGTCGCCTATTGTGTGTGGGTGTGTAGTTGAGATGCGTTTGGTGGTGTTTGACGAGGAGAGTGGCGAGGTGATTCAGTCGGTTGAGGTGAGCCAACCGCCCTACTGCTACCTCTGGTCGACCGACAACACTCACCTCATCTACCTCTCAAACACCGACGACGACAAGGGAGCCGCACCCATCGTAAACAAGCACAGCCAGACAGACAGACAGACTTTATGGTGGTGTCATCTCTCTCTCTCTCTCTCTGTGTGTGTGTGTGTGTGTGTGTGTGTGACGGATGCAGCCACTGGTTCAGTTGGTGGCTGTTGACATATCCAAGCCTGACGGGAGCGTCACCCTGCGGACACTCGACAAGTAAGTACCTGCGCAGCTGACTCCTCAATCGCCAGACAGCCGAGACCCATACGCACCTGTGTGGTGTGAGTGTGCAGGGGGCGTCCACTCTTCTTCGCTTCGAGCAAACTGGACCGCCGGCACCCGAAGCTCATCGTGAACAACTGGTTGGCCGGGAGGCTGCGAGTGCTCAAGGACGAAGGCAAATGGGCGTCTGGCGAGGGCCGGTGGGAATCACTCACGGACGGGCCGGGCAAAATCGCGAAATTCGCAGCCCCAAAGGCGCACACAGGTGGGTAGGGTAGATGTGTGGGCGCGCCACGCATGAGTGGATCGCTCCCTCTCACCGTGTGTGTCGTTGGTGTGGGTTGCAGCTGGGAATATGGACGGCATCGTTGCCGTCGAAAACGACTGGCTCATTTCCGTTTCGCTTGATGGTGCGCGACGATCGATGCGCCATTGTCCAATTGCCCGTCTGCCTGTTTACCTGGCTGCCTGGCTGCGTGCAGGGAAGCATCGGAAGCGCATCATGCCCATCAGCAGCTCTGTGGCCATGCAGGTGTCGCCCGACAACCAACGCGTGGCGCTGCTCGAACAGCAGACCGGCAGCTGCAGAGTCATCGTCATCGAGGTCAGCCAGCCAGCCAGCCAGCCACAAACAATGGCATGCGATGGCCGGCCAACGTACTTGTGTGTGTGGTTCCGTCAGGGTGAGCACGACTGGCTGGACCCCCGCAACCCTGATGCCAAGGTCAGCAGCTTCGACCTGCCGATAGGCCACATCACTGCGGCATTCTGGTTCAGGTACACACAAACACACACACACACACACACCATACCGTCTGTATGTTTGCGTTTCTCTCTTTGTGCGACAGCCCCGACAGCAAGAAGCTCTTGTGTTTCTCGACCAACCTAAGCAAGCCCGCCCTCTCCTCGATCTCACAGCTCGACCCCAGGATGCAGCCATTCGCCGTGCAGGGACAAGTCAAGACCTTCTGGCAAGTCTACCACCTGGATGGCCACACCGCCGATGACATCCCCAACCCCCCTCAGCAACCAACAGACGACAAAGCCGTCAGTGCGGCTGGATTCCGGTCGACCGACAGCAGTGGCAACCGCTTCACGTTTGGCTTTCAGGGGGGCCCCAAGTCTGACCAGCCCGAAGGCAACCCCGCCAGTCGGCTGACCAAGCTCTTCGGCGAGAACATGGGTGTGTTTCTGAGCTCGCCTGACGGGACGATATCCGGTGTGAAGACGGGCGGGTCGCTGCCCGATTTGGTGACGCCAATCACGCCCCACAGCAGGGTGGTCAGAGCGGAGGGCCGGAAAGAGCCGCTCAAGGTGCAGTATTGCCAGGAGTTCGTGCCGAAGAGCACATACCTGAATGTAAGGCAGAGACAAAGGGAGTGAGGGGAGAGGCCTCAGGACAACCATCTGGGTGTCATTCATCATATGATGTGTCTGTTGTGTTTGTGTGTGTGTGTGTGTTTATGGTGTCCTGCAGCTGTTCCTGCCCTTCTTCGACCAATACGCGCTGTCGATGACGCCATGGAGCCCTGACTCACAGGCGTTCTGCTACGTGACCAACGACGGGCCCTACATCCAGTACCTCACAGACGACGCCGACCCTTCACGGACACCCCCGGCAGAGAAGCTCGTGGCGAGGGGCGACCACTTCCCACCATCCCTCTCATACACACCGCCCATGGCCTCGCCCTTCGAGAGCTCCACCAGCCAGGAGGGCAGCAGCGAAGGCGACGACAACCGCCTGGAAGGAGCGGACCTGGTCGCCTGGAGCTGGTGCTAATGGATGCTGGATGGATGTATGGATGGATGGGGGGAGTGATGGGATTCACACCGGCGATGAGGGTGCGTACTGCTCAGGACGGAGGGAGGGCTTTAGTGACAGTAGGTGATGGTGGGGACTCATCATCAATGGTACAAGTAGCCAGCCAGCCAGCCGGCCAGCCTTGCAGCCAGTCATGTCGAGAGCGTTGGAGAGATGGAATGAGCGGAATGAAGTTTTTTCTTCTTTTGCCGCTGATTGTGGCAGACAGACAGACAGAGAGAGAGAGAGAGAGATAACATTGTGGATCGCCGTGGGCGCTTCCGCTTCCGCTTCCACTCACCGACCGAGTGCACAGACAGACAGTGTCCTTCTTTCTTCCGTGCACGTCAGACTGCAATTTGAAGCCTAGGCAGCCAACGAACGAGTTGTTAAGTCGTCACGTGTGCCCTGCCTGCCTTGTAGGGCCTTGTGGGCATGCGTATCAATGAGTCCCCTCTCTGCTCTCTCTTGAGGTGTGGCTGGCTGGCTGGCTCTTCGTTTCCTGCAGCCACTCGCTCAGTCGCTTCCCGCGTACCCACCTACTTGTACAGACAGACATGTTTGTTCGTCAATGTGTGTGTGGTGAGCCGTGGCTTTGTGTGTAGAGAGAGGCCCCGATCTCTTGCTCAGCGGCCGCAGGCCTTCCCGCCCATCGAATGATTGGGAGGGGGAGCAGCGCCTCGTTGGATATCAATTTTGGCCGGGAGGCGGGTGGGCGGATGTGTGGGTTGTCGGGGGTTTATAGAGGGCTCTTTGTCCTTCACAGAAGTGTCCTTTCCTGACGTCGCTGTCTCTCCCTCTTCCTTCCTCGTCTCTCTCTTTCACCCTTCTAGACTCTGACTCTCGCCCACTTGGTGGCGTCGGTGTGGGCTGCATCGGCCGATGGATTCGGTTGCTCGACTGTTCGTTCGTATGTGAATCGAATTGCTTCCAGCGCAAATTAGTGTGTGTCCCCATGTATGGCTCCCTCATCAATCAATCAAGGCAGGCGGCCAGGCTGCGGCTTGTCGCTCAAACAAGATCACAATGCATCCACCATTCACTTGTTGCTTTCCGAGGAATGCCCCATGAGTGTGGCCAATATGTCCGCCAAAAGGTTGCCGGTGAACGGCGCCTGCTTGGCCACTTCAGTCTCGCCACCACCACCACCAGCCCTCCTCTCTTGCCCGTCGTGTCGCGCCATCTTGCCTTTGTCTTTCTCTCGTTCGGCCAGTGAGACACTCGCCGGAGGTCTCTCTCCTCTCACTTGGCTGTTGGGTGCTGGTTCCTCAGGCGCGTTGGCCATCATCTCGTCCAGGAGATTCTCAAGCGGCGCTGGTGCTGGCGGCACGTCATCATCGGTTTTGGGGGGGACCACCTCGTCTGCCTCTGTCTCTGTCTCTGTCTCTGTGTCGGTCTCCTCCTTGTTGCCATCAGCGGCTTCTGTGTCTCCTTGTTGTCTCTCTGTCTCTTCACCCTCTTGCTGCTGTTGTTGTTGTCGCTGTTGTTCTTTGGTGTCAGCCAGGGCCTCGGAGTGCATGTGCTCGAGCTCGATGGGCATCATGTTGGCGGCGTCATCTTTCTCATTTGTGCTGTCCTCCTCGCCAGATGATGCCGATGCTTCATCTCTTCCACTAGCCGAAGAAGCGGGTGGCAGCTCGTTGCCGCTTGGCTCGGCGGACACCTCAGTTTTCTTCTTGTCCACAGCCAGGAGGGAGGAGTGCTCATTTGGGTCGGTCGGGGGCAGCGGATGGGAGGGGTTTGCCGTCTTGTTGGCCTTGTGCTGGTACTGCTGTTGTTGTTGTTGTTGTTGCACGGCTGCCTCCTGCTGTTTCAGCACGTCGATCGCCTCACGGATCTGGCGCAGCAGGGCGGCCTGCTGCTCGTCTACACCCTCATTCTCACTTCCCTCTCCCTTGTCGTCACTGTCAGCCGACGGCACGAACGCCTTCTTAAGAGCGTCCATCATGTCGCCCATCTCAGTCTCATGCTTGTCCTTCTGCCCCGCCACGTGCTCGGCGACGTCAGTGTCTTTCTTCTCGCTGTTCGTCTGCACCAGAGTGGCAGCCTTGGGCGGAAGACCCAGTGGGAAGAACGGTTTGGGAGGGAGGGGCAGCGAGCCAGTCATATTCAGTGGCGGCTTCTCATCTTCTTCTCTGGTTGAGGGAGACAGGATCGATGCAAGAGGGCTGCCGATGCTGCTCGTGGGTGGCTTGTCGGCACTCAGAGGTACTGGATGTGGCGGGTGTGGCGGGGCCGGGGGATGGTGCACCAGCGGCCCACCCATATGCACCTTTCGCGTCACGATCGGCGGGTGAGGCGCATCGGCCCGGTTGTCACCATAGCTGGACCAGGACATGGATGTGGGGAAGCCGTCAAGTGCAGGCGGCCTGGGGGGCCGATGCGGCGTCAGCGATGCGCGAAGAGGGACGAAATGGACCTGACCAGAGAATGCGATGGCGGGCGTGTGGCGCCTGAGGATGACCGGAGGGAGGGGGCGGGGCACGGTCAAGGGCATGGACATCGGCATCGGCTCGGGGAGGGGGCCGAAGGCCGATCCCTCAACAGTAGTGATGTTGTTCTGACAGACACAGACATACACAGGACGCGTTTGCCCGTCCGATTCTCGCTGGTGCCCTCACCCCATTCAGTGTGACGGGTGGCGTCTTGAGGCTCATCTCATAGGACCGCTCGCGCCGCAACCGCACCGGTATTCGCCTGAAGAAGCTGTCAGCCATGCGGCTGAACAGACCACCCAACGCATCAACCACTGCACAGATGCACTCAGAAACATGGTACATGGCCAGCTTACACATGTGTTTGTCAAGGTGTGCCCGTCCCTCGTACCTTTGGCGTTACTATTGCCTCCCCCGCCCTCCATCACGCCGTGGAACGTCACATTAGCGCGAAAAACAGGGGGCGAAGGGGGAGACACCGGCAGGGGCAGAGGAAGGGGCAGGGGAGCCGCGCGCACGGTGACGTCCGACAGGGGCAGGGAAACCTGCCTCGCTCTCTTGCACATGTAGATGCACTAAACATGAAACAGAAAAGCACACATGCGTACAATGACATCATTGTGGTGTGTTTGTCTCCATGATCTCCTTCCCGTAGATACATACGTGCAGTGCCATGTGCATGGTCTGGCGCGACATGAAATGGCAGTCGTGCAGATTTGTGCCCATCAGGTGCGTCGAGGAGGGCTCGGGAGGGCAGGGCAGGCCGACTTGCTGGGCGGCTCCGGTGGTGTCATTCCGCCCCGTGGCGTAGTGCAGGATGAGGCGCTGATACTCGCGGGCGCTGCGGAGGCGAGATCAGATGTCGTTGCTGCGGTTTGTTGACTGCAGCGAGGGCGTGACGCAGAAAACGAAGACGAAGACGAATGAGGATGGGGATAGCATGGTGGGATGCAGGGGGATAGCAAGGACGCGCAAGGGGATTCCACCGTGACCGCGGTGAGACTGCCTCAAGCTTGCAATGAACCCCCGTCTTGCCCCCATCCTTGCTCCCCCCGCCATCCGCGACAGAGCACCATGGACGTGTGGAGGTCAAATCTGCCTGCCATTCTGAACAAGCTGCGGCTGCAGCTGCACCACTCCGGCAGAGAAACATTCGCAAAGCTGAGGAACGGCATTCAGGCAAGCACGGAATGCCTGCACGGAATGGCACGTGCGCCCCATGGTGCGAAGCATCCTTGATGCCTTTGTTTGTCAGGAGTTTGATAAGGATGGCTCTGGGACATTGGAACGTCGCGAGTGAGCACAGATAGACAACAGGGGAGATGCATTTTGCGCGGCACTATTTGTAATGAAGGTTCGAGAAGCTCATGGGCTGGTGTGGCCTCTTCCTGACGACACAGGTGAGGTGCCTATAGAATACTGTACATATCACATCCACCAACCACCAACCACGTCGCCTTTTCCTTTTCACCCTTCAACTGACCCGTTCGCCTGCATTGGTTTGGGTGTCTTCTAGGAGCTGTCGACACTCTTCAGAGTTGTGGCTGGCGAGACGGAGCCTTCATGCATCGCCACCGTGAGCAAGGGGGACCTAAATCGCTTCTTTGAGCTCCTCCGTGGCTCCCTCCCTTCCGCCCGTGCCGAGATGGTCGAGTTTGCCTGGAGCCAGCTGGATATTGAGGGCAAGGGAGCCGTCGACCTAGAGTTCCTGATATCGGCCTTCAATCCGTTGAGACACCCACACGTCGAGGCCGGACGGCTGTCCCCTGACACTGCCATACAGCGGCTCAGGGATGCGTTCGCTGAACTGGGGTGGGGTCAAGGCAAGCAGAGAGGCTGACATGATCCCTGTGTCTGTCTGTGTCTCTTTCCACTAGGTGCACGGATGTGGTGACAGAGGACCATTTCGTCAAGTATTTCGAGGAGCTTTCCGCCTGCACGCCTCCCGAAAAGGACCTGGTTTTCAGGAGATTGATGCTTGGCGGATTCAGCCTGGAGACCGGCCCGTTTGACGTGTCGGAGGAGCGCGTTGGTGACATTATCCTGGGAATGTACGAGAAGCTGCAGTGCCTGCAGCGTCAGAAGAGCCCCTCAGTCTACCAGGCCTGCCACAAGTGCTTCCATTTGTTTGACAAGGACGAGTGTGGCGCGCTCGACTTCAACGAGTTCTCGGACTTCATGAAGCATATTGGCGTGCTCGTTGCTCAGGTCACCAGGAGAGGGAGGACAAGTGATGTCTCCGTGATGTGTGCGTGTCTCGTGTTTCTCTAGCACGAGCTGGAAGCAGTTTTCGGTGAGTTCGCCGGCAGCCTGGACAGCAGAGTGGAGTTCCAACGCCTCTACGCCGTCCTACGGTCCACACAACCAAGAAAGGACCCCATGCCGTAATGCATGACATTTTCTTTCGTCGTGTCTCGCCCTTACAGTGAGATCAATGCAGGCCCCCACAGCGTTATCGCGCCAGGTGTGTCGTCATCCGGCATCCCTCGCGGGACGCTTGTCGGCAGCCCCGGCGGGAACGGCCCTCCCATGCCCGTCAACGCTATCGAAAAAATAAGGAGCCACCTACATCTCAAGGCAAAAGATGGTCAGCAAATCGGTGCATGGGTGCGGTGATGAATGAGGGCACTCATGTACGCAGGCATGTCTGAGTTGTCTAAGGCCGTTCGGGCCGCCGACAAGGAGAAGAATGGTTACCTCTCACCTGACGAATTCAAATGGGTACACACCATGCATGCGCTGCATGGTGAAACCACCTGTCTTTCTTCTCCTTATCTCTGTCTGTTTCCTCTGTGTCTGTGTGCCGTCTTGTAGGTGTTGCGTGAAGTTGGTGTGGAGATGGGCGGCGAGGACCTGCTCCGACTGATGCGAACCTTCGACACAAACCGGGACGGCAAGGTGTCGACAGCCGAGTTTCTCATCGCAGTCAAAAACGATGTTCCGCCCAGACGATTCCAGCTCATCCAGGACGCGTGGAACAAGCTGGTAGCCATCCAAACATGAGCCCACACAGCAAAGAAGTGGCACCTCTGGCGTCTCTTTCTATTCACAGGTGACGCTGTCTCTCGGCCGTCCGCTAGAAGAAGGCGAGGCGACTCCCACGTACGTGCCGGTTGAGCTGCTCGTCGGTGTCTATGACCCCGCAGCCCACCCAAAAGTGTTGAAAGCCACATGGACGAAGGTGAGAGCTCAGTCGATATGGTGATGGGGTGTTATGTTTGTGTGTTGGTTGCAGGATGCCGCAATTGATAACTTCGTCGATTTCCTTGGGGAGGAGGCGGCGCTGGGCCGGGTGCAGGAGGAGGCCTTCATCGAGTACCTGGTGGATCAAAGCACTGGCATGAGCATGGAAGCCTACTTTGCACGATACATGAAGGTGGCATTCGGCATGGACGATGACTGCTGAATGCTAGAATGAATAGACATGACTTGATATGAATCAATTTCTTCAAGTGATCTCAAACAAATCTCTCATTCATGAGAGGAGCGAAACGATCGAGACGCCCCC